TTTCAAAGTGCAAGTTTTCGCTTCAGGACCAGCAATTCGCAACACGGGGTTTTGATTTTTGATGCGTCCTTTGAATTTTTACCCCCGCATTGACGTTCCTGTTTCCTGGGACGTTGTCTGGATTGTTGCGCTTATTGTTCTGAGCAACAATCGCCCAAGCTGGAAAAAAATCGATGCGAAGACATTGAAACAGAACAAGGTAAAGAAAAACGCACTTTTTACGATTTTTCGCAAAAAAATCCACAATAATCGAAGAGATAAAGGCTGGGTGGTTGTCTGCATTATGAACAGAAGCAAGATCTATAGAATGCACGAAAAAACCGGATAGAAAGAGGCAAACTAGAAGGAAAACAAGAGATTTTCGAAAACAAGGTTTTTGCCGAATTTCTCGTTCAAATCAAGAAATGTGATTTTGGGACGTTGCCAGCGTGAAAATATAGATCAAGAGCTTCAAAATGATATATAGCTTGCTGAAATTGGGTTTGAAACAGCGAAGAAAAGGGTACCAGAGCCAAATGCCCCGCGCCCCGCGTTTGGGGTAGCGAGGTAGCGCGCAGCGCGCGGAGATGCAGACGAGCAGCGGAGACAGACCAGAGCCGACGGGGCATTTGGCTCTGGTCGTAGATCTCGTCGGGGTCTCAACGAAACCCTGTAACATTGTATATCATTCTGACCGTCATGACACGACGAGGAGAGCTGACAACGTCCCAAGCTTTAAAAGTCACTTACTAACGAGATAGACCAGCATTTCCGTGCGCGACTCTCTGCATACAATTAAGCGCAGTTTCTCATTTTAATTCAACTCCAACAGCTTTCCAAACTTCTGAAACTCATTTTTGGTCAAGTAAGATGCTAACTGAGGAACGTTGTCCTGAATTTTGAGGAAATTTTCACAGAAATTCTCTTTTCAGCGTAAAAAAGGCTTCAAAAAAGTAATTTCTCGGTTTCGCTGAGACACTCTTCAGATATTCTTTCCTATATTTGGTTCATCACATTCTTCCGATAAAGTCAGGATAATAACGTCCGGGGCTTTGCCCCGGATGACTTCGGTTTTTTTCCCAGGTGAAGGTTGTGTCCCCTCATAGCCCTCAAAGTGAAGGTTACCAGAGTATGTGGCTCTATGTATCGAAGGTATGATTCTCACCAACCGAAGGTGGAGCTTGCTCGATGTCTTAGTAGTTCCAACCTTCTGCAGTGGCTTCCGATCACCGCCTCCTTCGAGCGAAGGTCGATTCAGTCGAAGGCTGGAAGAGAAGGTCTGCCACAGTGTCGCAAGAGGGAAGAATGTCATTTATGACGGTAACAGGCTGGAGGAGCTCATATCAAGTTGTGACTGGCCCATCGAGAGGGACCCAACGTACGACTACGACCGGCTTCTGAAAGGATTGCGAGCCTGCGGCGAGTGCGCCTCAGTAACTTCCGAGAAGAACGTGGAGCGCATTTCGAAGACCACCAAGGAAATGCTCGAAAGAAGAAGATTTCTGAGGCAGGATCCGAATGCAACCCATCTCGAGCGACTGATAGCCAACGCCAGCTGCAGAACAGCTTTGTAGGAGGATCTCAGGAAGTATAGGCAAGCCAAGATACTGGAAGCAGCCGAAGGAAGACGAAGTCTCAAGAAGTGCCGAAGGGACCTCTGTGAATATCACGTACCGCTGGCTGCACTATTAAACGAAGACGGGACTCCGACTTTTTCCCGATACAAGATGGAATCTATTGCGAAGAACTTCTATACCAACCTTTCCGCTCATCAACACCCGTGCCGATGCCCGTTGTTCCCACTGGAGAAGTACCACCACGAATTCTACCTGCTGAAGTGCGCACAGCAATTCAGACCATGAAGACGTCCACGGAATTATATTAATATATTATATTAATAATTAATAAATTAATTAATTAATTATAATTGATTATAATTAATTATATTAATTAAATCGGGATTATCGATTACTTTTGTCGATTTTATCGATTTTTTGCAAAGTTTGAGCTAGGGGGCTGGGAGCTGGCACAGGGGGGTTATCGAGCATGCTGATCATCCCCAAGGGGGGTGATCAGCATGCTCGATTACACCCCTGTGCCAAATTCCAGCCCCCTAGCTCAAATTTTCAAAAAATCGATAAAATCGATAAAAGTAATGGACGATCTTGAAAACTAATATTGTATTCGTAATCTGCATGCTCGATTACCCTCCTGTGCAAACTCCCAGCCCCGCAGGTCAAACTTTACAAAAAAATCGATAAAATCGATAAAAGTAATGGACGATCCTGAAAACTAATATTGTGTTTGTAATCAGCATGCTCGATTACCCCCTGTGCAAAATCCCAGCCTCGCATGTCAATTTACAAAAAATCGATAAAATCAATAAAAGTAATCGATAATTCTGAAAACTAATATTGTATTCGGAATTCCCATGCTCACTTCCCCCCTGTGCCAACTCCTAGCTCTGTAGGTGAACTCTGCAAAAAAATCGATAAAAATCGGTAAAATCGACATCGATCGATAACGAAAAGTGGACTGTGACACCCGCCGGGGCCCGAAGTGTATGTGTGCCAAGTTTGGTCCGGATACGGCGGAGCCGGGTAAGCCAGCTAGTAAATAATAAGAATAGACATAAATACCGTTTCTTTTGCAGATTTATGAGTGTACTTGTTGTTTGAGGTACTTAGTCTGCAAAACCTTTTAATAACGATTTTTATTTTATATTCCCAGAGTACAATACCAATCTCAGCCCAGGTGAAGGGGGTCCTCCGGAGTTTGGCCGCAAAGTGAAGGGGGTAAGATCCATCACTCCCCCTATCGCAACTATGCTGGTTAGGCTTAACCCACTGGGTTCCGGAACCCACTAGTTTCGTGATTACCGATCTCGAGTGTTAAGGCCTACCCTGGATTCGTTGATAGATACGGCCACTGGTCTTGCAGTCATAAGGCTCGAATCACTCAAAGACACTCCCCCTTTCATAATATATATATTTCATAACTTATAGTAACGGGTTAAGGGTTGTTTGCGTGTTTTTGGTGTGTGTGTCTGAATGTCTCTCTGCCACGAAATTCATAAAGCAAATTCCAGCAAAGGTCTTGAGCTAGAATTTTGGCCGCAGCACTCTATAAGTGCAAATCAACTGTGCAAAAGCACGAGACTATCCGATAGGAGGAACCACTGGAAATAGTGCGCCAAACGGACCCATGCGGCTACACTGCGGAACTGGGTCTAAATTCAAACGTTCTGCAAAATATGGGGTTCCGTAGCATGCATTCTTCAGGCCATTGACTTGAGCTTGAGAAATAACCAAAAATCGCACTTTGTTGCGAGAACGGCGCCAAAAACAGTGCTTGCACAGATGGTCGATTCGTGAAGGTTTTACCTAAGAAATCAAAATGATGTTTGCTTAGAAACTCAGCACTCTTTAGTCTTCGTCGTTGGAGCAACTATCAAGCCATAATAAAATCGGTAAGCAATTCAAAATCGCATTATTCTTTCGCCAGAGAGTTCTTCCTCTCGAAATGACCGATCATACATGGAAGAGATTTTGGAATGAGTAGTTGTTTACAATTTATTGATGGCCAGCAAAGCGGGGTGAGTTTCAAAGCCGTCATTATGCGAGTACGAGGAAAGCATGTAGATAGTCAAACCAGTGCGAGCCTCTGCGAAGCAGAGGTGACGCATTGGTAATATATATTCGGCTAAGTGTTTCTATATGACCGGCCTAAAATGATAAAATGACAGAAAGAATCAAGATCTTTGTACCAAACTTTAGATACATGGAGTTTAGATACGGCGGACGTATGCCACTACGCTTCTTCAACAAAAATTATTTCGCCTTATTGATTTATTGATTCTTTGCGATCTTGCTTGGTTTTTCAATTATAGCCGGTCTAGAATGATCGAAAGAATCAATATCTCTACATGAAACTCCTAAATATGAACTTTGAGGAGTTTCACAAAAAATTATTGATTGGCGCCGATTTATTGATTCAGTTTCGTACCCTGGAGCGCTAAACAGAGAAAATATTGCCTGACGATTACAAAAAGAAAACACCTATCATTTTCCAAACAGCCTCCTCTACTGTTTGACTGTTTGTTCCACATTTACGTAGGCCACTGCAGTCACTGCACAGAAAGTGCGCAGAATTTTCGTAATCTTGGATCACCAAAAAAGAATTTTTCCTATAAAAGGGTTGCAAAAGGATCTCTTAATCTGTGAAAGGGTTGAAATAATTTTTGGTCCAGATGATAAGTCTTAGAGTTACGCGAATATTTTGTATTGAGCCTTGAAAGATTGAAATTTCAGAACTTCACAAACATCGGATGCAGTTTTGTAAAAAGGATTTTTTCGACAGCGCGTTGAGGTATCTCTCTTATACGAGCAAATTATTGTAATCTAATCTCCAAAAAAGAAATTCTCAATGTTATCCATTTATACCAAGTCCTTTGCAATGATAGAAAGCAGTTATTGTGTTTTGATTAAAGGTGCTGAAAAAAATTTTTGCATCAAAAGTATTTAGAGAGAAAGCGAACAGTGATTTTGTCGAACTACTCGTCAAAATAAAAAAACACTTATGCAAAGTGATATAATTTGTAGAAATCATAAAGTCGCAACATCGCTTCAAGATCATCTTATAGAATTTTGTAATTCTGAAAAAGATAATAAGTATTTTTTGTTGATTTATCAAATTCGGATGCATTCAACTATTCTAGGGGAAATTCCACCCTTGGCAAAAAATCTGCGCTTGTGTCTTCTATCACAAGGGAATAGACAGCACAGATATAGAAGGTCAATAATCTGGCTCAAAGAAAATTTTTTGATCCACATTGATCCGCAACGATAGCAGAGTTTTGGTTTTCTCACGTTTGAGCACCTAAACGAGCCTTTGATTTTTTTTTGCTAGCTGAATTCATCCTTTACATTAGCTTCAGTTCTGATAGTAGGGTCTAGAACCCAGCAAAGTTTTATTTTTGTCCTTTTATTGCTGCTCTGATGGATTCAGTCCTTTGCGGTCATCTCACACTGGCGAACTTTCAAAAATTATTTGTGAGGATGTTCTTCTCCAGATAATTTACCATTTGACATTTCTTCAGTAGAATAATGTCTTTCTAACTTGTAAGAAAAATCTTTTCGGGTTTAACAACAATTTTTACTGGTTTTATCACAACAACTACAATCTGTTATCATGTTATCATACATTTCATTCATTTTGAGACTGTAGTAAGGTTTAGTTTGAATGTTCGACTGGTATATCATGCGCAAGTTCCTACAGATGCCATTACCGGAGAACTATGACGATCGTCTATGGATCACAAAGATCTTGAATCATATGAGGTAAGAATCGAGAATTGTAAAAACATCTTCATCAGTGTGAAACCTTTGCGGGACCTTTCTGGCCATTACTTCGAGAAATTTGTCCACTCTTACGAATCCCTTCAATCTAATCTGGTGCTCTATACCTTTTGATTCAACTGGCTTGATGGCTGGAAAGCAGGACTTCATGACCCAAGCTAGATAATACTCAGAGAGCATTGCGGAAGAGACGCAGACTGCGTTGCGGGCGCGAGCGGCCTTAATCAGGTCACAATGCCCCACCTTCCAGCCGCCAAGCCGGTTAAATCGGTTATGTGGGCGCATATTAAAACACCATAAAAATTTAACGAATCGACGGCATTGTTGTGGTTAGAATTAGACATTTCCATGTGGTTTTTTTTTCATGATTGACGTTTCCATGCTCTATGAGAACACTGAAGGTTGATGTGCTCTGTTGCAAGACTATATGATACAATTTGCTCGTAAATTCAAAAATAGTTTTTGGCAAGATGTCTCAAGCATTTGACTGCCTTTTTTCCCAAAAAATGCTTTTAGAATAGTAAATAGGCAAGACTGTGCCTCGATGCTGTGGTATACCGGGTGTTAGTAAAGAAATGTGGGCCAAATTAGGGTGCTCTGATTCCATTTTATTGTATGTTAGTTTGGCAGTATTGAAACCGAGAATATTTTTTTAATTCTAGTTATATCTAACATGAGTTGTTTTTTTAATTCTTATGACCATTGCCTAGACTTTTTGACTAATCGATGGCGCACTTTTGGCAATAAATAAATAAATTAATAAGTAAACGATAACTCTCTTGCATCAATGTCATTTGTCGGTCTTCAATTACCATTCTGTAGAGCTGGCCTCAGTTTACAATTAGATTTACAGTATAGCGCGAATCACCGGTTGCTTTTCATCGCTGTAGAAACTTTTAGCATACAGAACTATTGCAAAATTTCCGCTGACAAAATTTCCTTCAAAAAATCTGAAAACTGTAAACAGGGTCTTCGCACATGCTAATGTCATCACGCACTTTTTACTAGATTTCTGACCTTTTTGTTAGTGTGAATATTTCAGACGAACATTAGAAAAACATTTGTTACAATTCAAGTGAATTAACTTATAGAAGAACCATCACAGTAAGGTGCAAATTTTATATCCGAAATCAGCGACTTCTTAGCCTAATCTAAAACTTCTTGGCTCCTTTGGTTTATTTCCCGAAGCAAGATATGGTTCTCAAACTCCTAAAATCATCATCGAAGTTTCTACCGTAGTCCTACAGTAATGACTCGTGTTGGGTGACTTACTCCATACTATAGATCCAAAGTGAAGCCAGCTCTACAGAAAGACACTTAAAGGTTGGCAAAAGACTTTAGTCAACAGAGTTAAACGATCAAACAGTGTGCACATTTTTTGGGACCTCCTGTATATGAATATGGGCCGAGGCGCCAGTCTATGGAGGCGGAGTTTGCCAATTTTTCTCCACCTCACTTTTGCTTCGTGCTGCTCGAGCTGTATAGATACATGCATACCCTTTTATTCAACGGTATTGGCTGGAAGGCGGGGCTTCGAGGCCTAATCAAGGCTAGGGAATGGTCAGAGAGCACGCTCGCGAGAGAGACGCACACTGCGTCGCGCTAGCGGTCTTCTAGCAGCCAGTAGGGTTGAATTAAAGAGTATATGTGTCGGCCTTCTGTTGGGTATCTGCGAGCTTTGTTAGGAGTGTAGTTTTGAATTCGCTCAGAATGCTTGTTTTCTTTTGCAACATTTGGTCAAAACTAAACCTGAAGCTTTCTAGCCAGCATAATAAAAATTTCGTGAGGTCCCAATGATTATCAATACATAAAACTGATTTACCTTTTTGGAGATAGAGGAGCAAATTCATTTCTGCCTTTTTGTTCTTAGCAAATGTGGATAAACATATCGCAAAACTAGAACCCGTATGCTTTGTGTTCTTTGTACTAAAAAAGCTAAGCAAAGCGTTAAAACAAAACATAAAAGGCATTTACACATAATCCAGCCCAATATGCAGTACGATTACTTACAGCTATGAGGAAGCTTATTTACGCCGACATGAAATTCCATTCCGTCCACCGAAAAAAGATCGAACAGCGAATATCCATTGCAATTGGGTGTACCTGGTAGTAATAACATTCCTCGACCATTTGCTTACCAAGAGAAAAGCCGTTTCAGGTGGAGTGGGAACTATTTAATGGACAATTCATTAAGACTTGGGAGCTAGAAGACTATTTGATTCACTTGCCAGAATTAGATATCTATAAAGAGGTGAGCTAAATTTATGTTGACAGTTCTTTTCCATTAATACTTGTTTCAGAAATATGGTTTGGAAGAGGAAAGATCCAGAGTTTACAATTTGTGCCACTGGACCTCTAGCGAAGATGAAGAAGGCGAGGTTACCGTAACCAATACAGTCACTACCACAACATGAGAAATAGAAAACTGGGTGACGACTGCACTGCCTCAAAGTTATGTATAGCGTGCATACAGTTCTATATAATAAAATTGTTGAATATGTTGAATGCAAAGAGTTCTATAAATTGTTCTAGTAACCACCATGCGGTCAATAAAAATTCCGAGAATTCCACCTGAAATCTGGAGCAGCCCGTTCTTCGAATACCTTCGTTTTGAGCATGTGCAAATCTTGCTAAAGGCAGTGCCCCGCTGATTCGCGTCCAGGGGAATATCGCTAAGTTGGGGTTCCTGATCATCCCACTGACCTCCAGGTGCACTGCGGTTCCTGGGCCGACGGAATAGCCCTCGAACCGACGCGCGCAACCACTCGGCGCGCTCGGACGGCTTCGCTCGCTCGGCGCAAGACCCTATGACCGTTCTTCCGCATTAGGGATCCGTCATACTTCGCCGAAAAAAGCCCAAAGAAGCCCGAAAAAGCCCAAAAAAGCCCAAGCGCCAGAAAGAGCCGGAACACTTCTCGCACGTTTTGGCGCAGGCATGTGTGTTGACTTCGCAATCGAGCCTTTTTGTCATTTTCTGTCGTCCGCATGATAAGATAATGTCAGAATTCTATCAAAAGTTCGTTTATACCTCCGTTACACTTTGGTATAAATACCATTTTGAACAATTGATTGTATGACACAGGGGCTGTGGATTACGCAGGTTTATTTGGCACGACCGGAGCAGGTATACATTCGTGAATGAGTTACGAGGAAAGACTTACGATGATACGATCATCCTGCACTAATACAAGCACCATTCAACGAAGATTCTGACATCTCAAGCATACCACAAAGCAATGTCACTTTAAAGGCTTCTATATGAAAGACTCATTAGCTAGCCCACCATGGGGCATCAAAGATATATTCGCGGATGCATGATTACTTGAAAAAACCACGAGACAAGTTTCGTTGCAATTGCTTTGCTCGACTGCACCTGCTGAGTTGAGCAGCTGAGTTGCACCTCCCAACTTTCCATTGAAGCTCTGGTTCCAACTTCTTTTTGGAAATTGGGTAAACGCCCCGAAGGTTTTTCACCCTTTTGAAGCTCAAAATCGGGATCAGCGGGTCGAAAAGGCCCAAAAATGCAAAAAGATGGAAATGCAAAATCTGCCACTGCCTTCAAACTGGTAAATTCCCGTAAATGTTTATTCTCTAACATCATATTAGTCCATTTTACTAAAACAAGGTTCTGGACAATGTCTCTCGCTATGTTCGGATCTCCCCCACAATATCAAAATCCTTTCACAAATCTTAACACCAAGATTTGTTGTGAACAAGGCTAGTGTGACAAAACCGGAAGAGAATTCTCCTCAGCTCTTTGCGACTTTGTTGACTCGAATTTCACTCTCTTTGAGAAAAAGCCTTGCTTTCAAAATCGTAGCCCGTGCCATTTGTCGCCATCGCGCGCGACGTGTGTCCTACGCGCAATTGCGAACGATTTACATGCGATTTCACGAAAGAATTTGAACATGACTTCGCTATTTGCACAATCGATCGCACTATCATCGCGTTTTTCCATTTTAATAGTAGTTCCGCTGTGTTTGTTGGCGTCCGGTATATCAAATCGCACACCTTCTATACAATAAAACTCTAGAAGCCTGCTACATTGGTTTGCGATCCCGGAAAAGAAAGTTTCTGGTGCTGCGCATGTCGTTTGAAGTAGGAGCACGGGTAGAAACAGGTTAGTTTACTTGTTTTATATCAATTTTTGTCAAGTTGAGGATTAAGGGCTGGTCCTTATTGCAGTGAAATGATTTCTATTGCTCTGATCAAGCTGTTTCATAGTTTTTTTTTGCAGAAAAGACGGGTAAAGGACGTGTTGCCTTTTGTGGTGAAGTGCAATTTTCGGATGGTGAATGGGTTGGAGTAATTCTCGATGAACCTCGCGGTAAAAATAATGGCACGGTACAAGGAGTACAATACTTTACATGCGAACCAAACCATGGCCTTTTCATCCGCCCTACTCAGGTAAGGAATTGGTTTTTTGATAGATTATTTGGTTTTCATTGATATACGGTCGTAGAGCCCTGTTTTTATTTACTTTTCTACGTCAAATAAAAGAAAAGCGCAGAAGCTGTAGTAATTTGGAGAGACATTTTCGGAAAAGCCAAAAAGAGTGGTTTGCTTGGCTAATTTATGTTGTTATCAAGAAACACAATTTGCGGCTTGCATTGGAAAATCGTAAAATACTAAGCAAATGACCCCTAAGGCTTTTTCTAATTTTTCCATCATGTTTTCTTCGTAATCAGTTTTCTCTTACAAATTCTCATCATCTATTTGGCCTTCCGCTGTACCTTTTTGAATCCACGGAAGCTCTAGTGCTTGAAACTTTGCTTTTAATATTCTGTGCCAAAAATCCTTCTTTAGCACTTTTTGACGCAGATTTTTGGCGGCACTCTAATTAGTCGCCAGTAGAGATTGATCAAGATTGCGAAATGGCGACCACGCGTTCGCTGAACACAAAACCAAAGCATATGAAAGTCATGAATATGCAGAATAGGAGCCGTACGTCCGGGACGTTGTCAACGTCAAGTTAGGAGATGGTAACAGACAGCAAATTCGAAGGCAGGTAAATGCCGATATGAAGAGATTGAGTTTTTTGAAGGAAACGAGGAACATCTTGCTCAGAATCTACCTGGTCTGCTTAGTTTGCAGATCACGAAAACACATTGTTCAGTTGCTGTTTATTTTTGGGCTCTCACTTTGTCGTTAAACTATAAAAGTAAAATTTTAGCTGTTAATGTGTTCACGTTGGACTTTAGCACAAAACTTTCTTGGACACCCATTTCAATGTTTTTGCTGCGGAGGCTCGTGACTTCCTGATAAAACCTAACCTGAATTTTTTCTAGTTGAAACCTGAGTCAGCTCGAGGGCGTACAAGTGGTTTGAGAACTCCTGTCGCACGCAAAGATGTTGCCCCTGCCGCTAGAGGAGCGCGGTCTTCTCCTGGCGTAAGTTCATGGAAGACTTTGTGTTTTTGTTATCTTTCTTTTTATGCATTTTTCCCTAATCGCACTTCTTCTTATCCACCAAATTTTCAGCTTAAAAAGGTTCCATCGACTAACGTGAGTGGAATGTTTTATTTATAGACACAGCTCCTTGTTTCAAACGAAATTTTCGTTTTCGAGATAAACATGTGCATTTTAGGGCAGCCCCAAAGTGAGTCCGTCTGTTTCAATGGAGAAGCTATCAAAGGGCTCAGTTCCCAAGAAAGTATTATCTTCGTCTAGGCTTGCTGATGCTGCTGACGGGGTTAGTTTTGTGGTTTTTTCTTTCAAAATTTTTGAATTTGTTCGCCTTTATCTTCTCCTGTCTTTCATTTCGCATTCCTTTTTTTTCTTCCTTTTAGTGGGTTTTTAGAAGAGAAAGTCTACCACACCTATCAAGACCAGATCTTCATCAAATGTTTCGTTAACGGTACGGTTTCAGTTAGGACGAATGCATAGATTAGAATACGAAGAGTTGAATGCTCCTCAGATGTTCGGGTTTAGAGGTTCTTGCGTTTTATATCTAGTAATATTCACATAGGTTGCCGATGCCAGTGATCGATCGAACACCCACAAGCAGTAGTAGCTTCTTAGTCATAGTGGTCATTTCTTACAATGTGTATGACACCGGATGCCTAGTTTTCCACTTTTTGGATTTTTGTTTGAAGAAGACTTTCTGCAGTAGAGTCCATGTTTTACTCCCAGTAATGTTTTTGCGCAAAGCTTCATTTCGAGAGTTAAGGAGGAAACAGGTTTTGACGTAGACAAATCTTGGTTTGTTGTGTCATTGGCCGCATCTGGTGTATATGCATAGTAAGGGTTGGTCTACCAACTTCTAAGTCTTTATTTTTAGCAGTCTAAGTTACCTAGGAGGACAGTACTTGCTGCGGTGAGATTAAAAGCCTCTCCGTCGACGTACACACAATTTTCGAACCTTGAATCCCGAACACCATCTATTCTTTGCTATCACGAGTTGCCCTCTGTTTCAAGATTATCGCTAACCACGCTTCTTCTCCTGTGCTGCTCTTGGAATAACCTTTCCTTTTTTCCTTGGTAAAATGCTTTAGACTGGGTTTGCACGAATGCCATATATCACTCATTCACAGTAATCGATAACTCCGTTTAGCCAAAAATGACCCGAGAATCCTCGAATTTGTCTCAAGCTGGGTCAGAGAAAAGTGAGAAATTGGAAAGGGAAAAACCTGGGGCGAAAAACAAGGAGAAACCAGCGGAAAAGTCTAAGGAAAAACCACCTGAGAAGGCAGAGGAGCAACCTGCGGAAAAATCTCCTGAAAAACCTGAAAGTGTTATGGATAAAGTGAAAAAGCTCCAGGAAGTAAGTGGATGGATTTTTTCCTTTTCGAACCTTTTGGCATTATAAGCGATTTCCTTTGAAGTCAGCAGCCCCGATGTCACCAATGTCTCCCATTCATACTAGCATTCCATCTGGTATGGATGAAGGAACTGAACAGGAGTACTTGAAGCTGCAAGTTAAGGACTTGTCCGAGAAACTTGAAACCTTGAGGTGTGCCTTGGATTTCTTCCTACAATCCCTTTTTTCCCTGCTTCCTCTTTGCAAAAACATCAATACGTATCCGCTGTAAATTAATTGTTATAGACTAAAACGCAAAGAAGATCACAGCAAGCTTGTTGACTACGAGCGCAGCAAAATTCAACTGCAAGCTCTCATGGAACTCAAATCAAAAATGGCTGATCAGCTTCTAGATTTGCAGCGACAGCTACAGGAAGCGAGAAAGGTAAATGTGTCTTCTTTCAACGTCTTGCCCATTGTCTACGAAACGCTTATAGGAAGCTATTGAAAGCCGCGAGTGGAAAGAAGCTAATCAGGACGAACTGAGTTCTGCTGCAGAGCAGCTGGAAATGGCTACGATTGATAAGGAGATGGCTGAAGAAAGAGCGGAGGCTCTACAACTTGAGGTTAGTTTGTATCTCCTTGTTTGATCTCTTAGCGACTAGAAACAAAATTGCGAAATTATCTATCTGTCTCCATTTTTACCTTGTGCCATATGCTGTAATCTCTTTTCATCGCGAATGGTTTCAGCTGGACACGTTGAAGCTCAAGAATGAAGAACTTGAAGCTGATCTTGAAATATTGAAAGAGGAAATGGCGGCTGGTGGAGCTGGTGGCATTAGTGAAGGCAACAGCGTACAACTGAAACAGCTCGAACTTCAGAATGAAAGGCTGAAAGAGGCTCTGATTAAGTAAGTTTTATCTTCTTCGTTAACTTCGATCCTTTACTAATCATCTTATGTAATTGTATCTCCATGTCTTGTTAGCCTCGTTCTTTTCCTGTGATCGATTTTGTTTGGAAATTGGGATTTCTCCTTTTTTTTACCGAGGTGAAATTCTACTCAACAATGGTTTCATCATCGTCAATCAAAGACTCTTCAGTATTTCACTTACTTTCTGCTTGAAATTATCTTAGCATTCGAACTTGCGAGACTGAGTTATTCATTCCAGACTTCGCGATATAAATGCCGCTGCTCAAGCAGAAAAAACCGAGGCAGTGAGGGAAGCAGAGGTGTTGAGAACCGAGAACATCGAGTTGTTAAGAGCAGCAGAAATTGCGAAGAAAACGGCCGACGACGCGGATATGCGCATACACGACTACCAAGAGCAGGTAAGAGGGTTATTTTCGTTTAAGAATCTGCAATGAGTGTTTTACATCTAAGTACAGTGGATATTTTGCTTGGAAGCTTGAGTGATGAGTGGCTTGAACTCGTGTTTTGGGCAGATAGCTTCTTGTTACTGTGTGATCATCGTCTTTTGTTGAATGTTCGTTGAGCGTGTGGAGTAATCGGCTTGCTAGAATTGATGTAATGAATTTGTGATACAATACTTCAACTCGAAGTTAATGGTTGTTATAGCTTTCATTGCAGATAGTAGAACTACATGCATGGGAGGAGGTGGGCTAGGTCTTGTGCGGTCTTGTTTCACCTGTTGTATGATTACATTTATGTAAAAGCTGCTGCTTCCAACGTTGATTTTGAGTTCTCGTTTTCGCAATGGTACCAAATCATTAGCTATTTTTTCTAATCACCTAACTTGACATGCAAGAAATCGCGAATACCCGCTATGCATGTACGTATCTTGGTTATTACCAAATACTGAGTTGGAGGCAGAATTTGCGTACAATAACCTTATAAGTTTTTATTAAGATCGAAGCAGCAATGGGAGCTGAGGAGATGGTCATGAACCTGGCTAATAAAAACATGGAAATGGAAAATCAGATCAGGTGGAGAGGCTTTTCTCTTTGTATCCATTTTTGTTTAGTGACCTTTAGTTTTTTGGCCCTGCTTATATGCAGTGAGTTATGAAATTTTAGACAACTCGAAAGCGATCGTGATGAACTCGAAGCATTACGAGATATGGATGATCAGATGATGGAAGAGCAAAAACTTGTTGAGAAGGCTCTGCTCGGAGAGATTGAGGGCCTGCACGTGAAGATCAATGAGGTGCCAGTTTAGAATCTGCTTCCCTGATTCTATTATATGGTTCTAGCTTCAACAACGAATGAAACAAGAAGATATACATCGCGAAGAGTTGATATCAACAATCATGAAATTCCGCAAGAAGGTTGGAGAACAGAATGAAGAGATACAAGATCTGAAAGACCAGGTTGATTCATGTGTTTCCGATGCACTGTTAATTATCACAATTTTCTCTCTAAGGTGCTGAGGTATCAGGAGGAACTCACAGGCCAAAAATCTGAAGAAAACAACATTGCTAGCATGGTCAGCCAAATGCAAGTCAACGTGAACAGAACCTTCGCTGAGGTTTTTTATATCAAATCGCTTGAATTTAACCTGCATAACTTTTGTTTGACCATTTGCTTACAGTCAGTAGAGCGACAAGTCTCCGCCGTTGAGGTTGAATACGCTAGAAAACAGATGGGTTACCTGCGACAATTTCTTCCTGATAATTTCACGAAGGCTGGAGGTAGATTGTTATTAATTCTCCATGCCATGCTGTTATACGACGGTTAAGGTGATAATGATGCTGTGATTCTGAATGTACTGTTTCCACGCTTAGCAGCAAAAGCGAAATTGCTAACAAAACTCATGGCAGACAGGGTAAGTCAGAATTTTGCAGCTTTGATCAGTTATTCTTCTGCAATCTACTTGACCTTTTGAGGTTTACTTTTTTCACATTTCTTATTTGTCTGGTAATCGACAGAGTTTTAGTTTCCTGGAGTGCCAGGAGGCACTCGTCGTGAGCATGTGACAAAGTCTCACAAAGCGGAACAGTGGGCTCATTCGGCAAGAATTGCCCATACTATGAGTGCGCTGGTTGCTGTGTGCGGACAGTTTGAAAGGTCAATACTTTGGTTAACGTAGAGTTTTCATATTATTTCTTATGTGTAGCGTGCATGTTGAAAATAGGCTTCTCCTTGATTTTTTTCCTTTGTAAATTCTGAACTTTTTGACGTAGCATGTAATGATGTAGTCTTAGTATTGCTTATGAAATCTGATCAAAAAATTTCAGTGCTCTTGGGAACATATCGCTTGAAGATCTTGCGCGATTAGCTCAGCTCCAACCAGAAATGTCTTCACAAGAACGTGTCGTAGATGGCTATCTTGAGTTGCTGAGGCAAGCCAGGCTTGATGCGGAGACGTCTTTGGAAAATATGGACAAAGTTGTCACATATTTCCAGGTTTGTTGCGAAGAAATCTGGTGGAACAGCTTTTTTAATCTTTGACTTTGTTATGACCAGATATGCTTTGCAGAACGTTCTGTCGGTAAACATCAGCGCTGATAGTTATGACACTTCAGCTTGGGTTCAAAGCGTCTATCAACAAATTATGACCGGTATTACTTGGTGTAAAGTTAATATGCAACGAATCTCTTACTTTTTGAAGGTACCATCCTTTTTTGAGCTTTCTCGTTACAAACTTTGTACATCTGTTTCATCTTGCAGCCTGGCTCAGAGGAATCTGATGTGGCAGACTTTGTAAGAACGCTCGGAAATGAGTTGGCGCAATGTGAGCAATTAGCTATAAAGGGTGGAAAGGCCATTCCTACGGATAAGCAGCTGAAACTGACACCACAGGTATCTAAATTTGCCTTTTGATTGGCATAAAGACAGGTTTTGATTTAGGCGAGCGATGACATCCAATCGGCACTTCTGCTTCTGCACAAAATTGCGTCTATCTTGCATGAAACTTGTGGAATAGCGAGTGTTCAGATCAACATGAATCCAGGTATTACTTGAATGGCTAAAAATTTCTTGTTTTCACCTCTTTGTAGTCGAGCTATCAAGTTTTTCTTGCGTTGGCTGTAATATCTCGTTCACATCTTTCCATCCGACCATTTAGTTTGATCAGTGTACACACCATTGTGATCTGGTGGCACCAAATTATTAATTGTTGACTGTCCACGGTGAGCCTGTCAGCAGCAGCGTGCTACTTTCAGAGCTCGATGGTTTTGACGCGATGAGAGTGAAAGAGATGATCCATGGCGAAGTAGAGAAAGTGAACGGGTCAATAACTTTGGAGAAAACGTTTGAACCCATCAGGTGCTTCATGAACTGCATTTGTTTTCCGTATTCGTGATATATGTTGAAAATCTTTAGCAAGTATTTTTACACTTTGCGTGAAAATCTCAATGGTCTGTTCAAAGCTTTGGAAGATGGTGTTATGGAGATTCCTCAGAAGGAGAAGGTGAGTGAGGTATCTGAAGAATAACATTTTGATTTTTTTTCAATTTTGTCTTGATGGAGAGATTTAAGAGTTTCCCACCTGTTCTGGAGAGAGCTCACTTACGGAAACAAGCCGCTGCCGAAGCTGAAGGCTTACGCTGGCAACTTGAAAAGAAGGACATGGAGATCTTGGAACTCAAAAAGACCATCAAGAGCAGATTGGATGATATTAGCAATTACAAGGTGAATCTTCACTAGCATTAACATTTCTTACCTTCTGATCGAAAGTCTTTTTTACTCAGTTACGCTTGGATATGGCCGAAGCTAGAATTGAGTCAGCCGGAAAGCAGGACAACGTAAAAGTTCAACACCTCGAAGCGAAGATCGAACAACTTGTTGCTGACAACAAGAAGAAGCAGATGTTAGTTTCAGTTATCCATTTTTCCGTATTACTCACAAAAATTATTTTTATGTCATTTAACCGTTATCCCGTTTCCTATGCGTAATTTCAGCGAATTTGACGAAACCATGGATGCTCTGCAAAAGGAACTCAAGGAATGCGAGAGAGAAAATGCTGAGTTGAAGCAAATCGCAAAGAACTTCTCTCGCAAGACGCTTCTTGACGTTAGTGAATCTCTTTCTCCTCCATTTATTGTGCTCAGAAGAGAATTCCTTTGGTTGAGTAGGTGTTTTATTTTCAATTTCATTCGCACAGCGTGCTCATTCATCCTACGTGTATTGAATTGCATACTCTCATTATCTCCAGTGTGATCTAACCAATGTTCAGGCCTTAGTATTGAATACGCAAAAATCTGGGTCGCCGGTAAGTGCAGTGTTGTTTTAGCGATTTCTGGCTTTTTACCTCTACTTTTCCCGGGTATCGGAGTTGTGTTTGCTGAAGTTAGCATGTTGATTGGCGGTTTCAGCTTGCTAGCGTGGTGTTTTTTTTTTAGATTTGCACCTTTACCACTACACTTTTGATTCAATTCGATAATTTTATGCTTTGCTATGTTGCTAGATATGTCAGCAGGTTTAAATTCCTCAATAGCAACATTGAACATTGCTAAAACTGTGATATTCATACTTCGAAATTCATCTGAAAATGAGACATTGGGGGAGCTTTTTTCGTAATTGTGTGAACTGCGTCTCATGAGATCACAACTCTAAGCAAAACCGCTTCTTTCATCATTTTGGGTCAATCGGATTTTATCTTTCAATTTGTAGTACAAAAGGGGCTTCATGGCCCGTAATTGTTCCTCTGTATGCTAGATTCTTCTCTGCAGAATATTCAACGTCTCGAAACGCGGTCCGTAACTTCACCACTGCAAGCAGCATCACCTGTTGGATTAGCTCTAGGTCGAGAGGAAGTATCATTGCTTGAGCAACAGCTCACAGAAAGTCGCGAGGCTTTGCGCCGAGCTACCCTTGAGATTGTTTCGCTAAAAGTAAGTAGAGATCGCGAATACCGGGCGTTTGAGCTAAATGGATTTAACATATTCAATTCAAGGCTGAATTGTCAATGGCACAGAGCAGGAATGGCGTCATACGTCTGCCCGAGATGGTATGTGGACCGGAAACATTGAAAGCAAAGGAGAATGATGCCGTGCTAGAAGCAATTAGCAAAGAAATTGAACAACTCAAAAGGGTAAGTTCTTCGCTCACAGGGCCCGGCACGAGGTGGGCAAATGACAAGCTGAAAATCGTTCTGGGGCCAAAAAGCAAAGGGGATACCGTTTTTGCGGGATCCGGGGCGGAGCCCCGGAAGAGGATTCCAAGTGCAAGCAAAAGAAGGTCGAATCATGCTTACCTTACACATCTAACATCGGAAGATAGTTTTCATAAACCTCAATGCACAGCAGACTTCGCGCGCACTACGCCGCGTTGCCGCTAATTGCCGCGTGCGCGACGTCGCATGAGCGATGCCGTTGAACAGCATGATCAGTTCTCAATGCAGGCGTAATGATACAGCACCAAATTACGTAAGCAAACAAAGAGAGGCTAGCAGAAACAAAGCATGAAATGTTATGCAAAAACTTATGTGAATGGGAGGTGTAATAAGCATTTTTTCCAAAAATTTCGCAAAACTGGTAATTGAAGATGTGAATTCAAATGGCTCGTTTGCAGCGCACAGATGACCATACGGTATGAAACTTGGTAGATACTTGAACACGGGCCTGCAGGGCTTATCTTAGAAGTTTCATTGAAAAATTATGTGAATGGAGGTTGTGGAAAGCTTTTTTCTGAAAATTTCCCACTATCGAGAAAATGAAAAAAATGGCTCGTTTGCAGCGCAGAGAAAACGAAATCGCGCAAGACTTGGTGTGTATACGCGCAGTAGGACTAAGGAAAAATGCATGAAAAATTATGAAAAACTTATGTGAATGAAGAGCGTGCTTAACTTTTTTCCAAATTAGGTGGGCAATTTCCCACCTAATGCCTACCTGAGGTGGGCAAAACTTTCAATTCACATAATTTTTTTCAAAATTTTTACATAGATCTGTTGTGCACCTAAAGTTTACTATATGGTCAGATTTTGGTTCCGAAACTCCTACTCTTGTCTTTGTTAGAGCCCAAAATCGCATCAGCAGCCTAGCTTTCTAAGACGGAAAGCGCGCCCCAGTCAATCGATACGCGCGGGGACGGCGTCTCTCAGCACTATGACTGCGTTCCTTTGATATTTTTTCATTCCTTCATCATTTTCCTTACTTATTCTTCTTCCTGTTTTCTATCTTGATACAGGTGAGGAGTAACTAGAGAAATTTGAGCATTTTGGGCGCTTTTGAGCGCTTTTAGGCGAAGTATGGCCGGTGCTCTCGTTCCACAAGCACAAAGCTTCATTTTTGGGCTCAAGGGGTATTCGTAAAACTATTGGGGTCAAAAGGGAATTCGTTTTGGGAAACCCCGTCTGCCCACCTCGTGCCGGGCCCTTCTTCGCTCATTATCTTTTCGTTCATATTTGCAATACCGCATAACAGGACGAACTGAAGTACATGGTGTTTGTTCCAAACCCATCTCGTTCTCGTCACCTTCAGCTGCAAGATCGGGCACGTTTCGAAAAGGAGAGGGATTTATTCAACTACCGCGTTGCTACGGTAAGATCTCCACTTCTCCTCTATAACAAGTGATAGTAGTACTTCCTCGCCAGGTGCGAACACGATTGCATCAGTATTGGAAGGAGACGTGTCCTGGACAGCCTTTCCCGAGACTTTTTGGAGGATTTTCTACAGCCAGGAAGGAACCGAAGGTAAAAAAAAGACGCAAGATCTTTTTGATATTGTGTTAGCTGAATTATTTAAGGTTCGCGATGTTCACTACGGGTCTGAGGCCTTTAAAGACATTATAAACCGATGGGGAGTCAAGGCGTAAGATCGCAAGGAGACCATCGTTAGCGCTTACTTTCTTATACAGGTTTTTTTATCGAGATAGTTATACTGGTGACCGAGCCTAGCTTATAATGAATATATAATTCTCATTTTTCATTGCCTTGATTACCGAAACTATCTACATAGTTTGCCCTTACACTGCTATAAATTCTTTTCGCATAGTCATCTTGATCTGGTGCAAATATTCTATTAAAGTTCTCTTTAAAGCACTGTCTAATTTCAGCATAAATTGTTGAAGTAGGCGTTGTTTCTGCACCATTTGTTACAAAATGGAGGTGCAGGTTCTTAATCTTTTGTTTCCATATATATTTATAGGATGTTTTTTTCTGCTAGCGGACCTGTTCTGTTCAAATAGTTTCAGCTTCTAAATTCTTTCTATATATGATTATAACTGCGTTTTGTTTGATCAGTTGTACTAACCATCTGTGTAAATAATGCAATGAAACCTGCTGCTCCTTGAAATAAATGTTTCGAAATTTTGTGCATAATCAGTGTACGTGGAATGATCCACTTGAATGCAGCATGATATAGATGTTCGTGATCAACCCGGTAACAAAATTACTAGTTCTTGGAGTCTTTTTGAAGAAAGCCTTTGATAGTGGGCTTTCCAAAATTTTTGATGACAATAAAAATTGGTGTTCGCTCTTTATCGTCAACGTATGCAACAGGCTGCTCCATTATCTTACAAAGGAGGGTCGCGGAGTCGAAGTGGCCAAACAATACAAACTGCACGCCGCTGAATGAGAGGTTGGAACGCTGATTCCGAATCTGCTCTTTTTATCTGCAGAGCGCCTCTGGAAAAAAGTTATGAGCACTTTATTTAGTCGAATACGGATTTAGCCGAGATAAAATCAAACGTTGCAGCGTCTTTAGACATTAAATGAACGGTCTAGTGTCTGGATACTTTGAAAAATAAATTCTTTCTGTCTGAAATTTAAGTTCTTATCTCGTTTGGCGTCTAGACAAGCTATACCGATTGTTTTTCTCCCGGCCATTAGCTCAATTTTTTGGCCTCGAAAATGTTCATAACTTCTTTAACAAAGTCGCTCTGCAGATAAGGAAAGCAGATTCGGAATCAGCGTGTGAAGCTCTGACGAATGGTATGCGGCTTGTAAGGATTGGCTACTTCGACTTCGTGACTCTCCCTTGTTGGTATCTTGCAATATATAATACACACATTTTGGATCAACGCCTTGGCCATACCTCACGCGATTTCAATCGTACGCGATTTGGCAGTGCTCCAAATGTTTACAGACCATCGTACTCGCACCCTTAACTCGCAGAATTTGGACCATTTCATCACTCACAAGGTTGTGCAAATATCTGTGTGAAATCTTCAAGAAGTGAATTTGAAGGCATCTGGCAGATCGCCAAATTGCGTGGCGATCAAAATCGCTGAGCTATGGCCAAGGCCTGATGAGAACTTGATTAGTATGTGCAATTGAACATTTCTTTCAATTTTTTTCTCAAACTAGGTTTGTCAACTTGAGATTCTTCTACATTTGCGGAGGAAACATTATCAGCCTTTCAGTTGCCTTTTATTGAAAAGAAAAGAACTTTGAGTATCATTCGGCTACATCAGCATTTTACGCACTATAATCCAGAATGGTTCTTCATCTTTTGACTATTGTTTAGTGAACTTCTTGAGAGTCGCCGCTAGAGGCGCTGTTAACGATAACTCCTTCATCTTCAGCGTTTGGTTGGAGTTCTTGTAGCCGTTGCATGTCCCATACTAGCTCTTCAATTGTCACGCTCAAATCATCAAATTCTTCTCTGAACCTGATTTTTATTTGGCGTCAAAAGTGTATAGCACTATGTGGCTCACTCATTTATTTCGTCCGAAGTATCGCCACGGTCCATATCAGTAGTCTCCTCCATAGTCGACTGACTTGAAGGATTATCAAAATATAAATGAACACTACCATAGTGATTATGTGCAAATGGAATGTAGAAGAGAGCCTCTTCACTAACATGTGAGCAGTTGCTACTACTGGCGTTCCGAGAGATTTTTTCATGGGAAGGGGTGGGGGGAGGGATGGGAGCGGGTGGCGCGACAGAACTTTAGTCAGACAATTGCAAATGACTTCCGGACAAACTGAAGTTCTACAAGTTCCAAGGATACGCTCCTACTGGAGCTGCCAGGTAGGGCGGGGTCGGGGGGCGGGTCTACCACACGTGTCCGATAGGAGCGTCCCCCGGAAGTCATTTGCGATTGTCGTACGAAAGAGCGTGGCTATTACAGGCACTGCCACCCTTAGTTAGGGGTCCTGGTTTTTGGCAGCTTAAGAGACCCCCTGTCAGGCCAATGCCTTAGTAGCGGTGCAAAATGTCGCTTCGGAAGAGAGAAAATCACTTTGGAATAGCGAAGAGGAATGAGGACTCCAAGTCGGCACCACCCCCTCCAGTAATGCCCGCCCACCCGTGCGCGCCCGTCGAATCACCGCCTCAGAGAACCGGCTTGCGCGTTCTCCGGAGCAAAGATTGTCCGGGTTTTCGTGGATTCCCGACTTCATAGTCGGAATCAGGGACATGAGAAGCCGGAACGAACAAAACATGGAAAGAGAATGTGGGTGGACGGTGCGTTTAACCACATACGCACCGAAAATGTTTATGATGCTCTTCAAAATTTCAGCGGACGCTTTTTCAAAGTCTCTACAAAACCATTGTAAGCCTTTCAAAAATTTCAAAAATAATTTGCTATTCACAAATGAAACCAAGTCATTTGCTTAATACATAATGTAGGTAGATAGGGGCGTGGGCCTTTTTGAACCCTTCGCGCGTGCCCATTTCGGCGCATGCGGCGCCGCTGGCAAAGCTAACAAGTCTCATTTACAGTTAACGGAGAAAATTCTTAGTTTGAAGCATGTAATATACCTCTGCCAAAACCTATCATCGTGTTGGACACGAAAGATGTAGAAAAAGGATGCTTCATCCTATTCATAGCATTGTTAATGGTAGTGGATATGTTGACCAATCAGAGGCGCTCCGTGATAGCGAGCGGTTCAAAAGGGCCGTTTCCCGGTAGATAGGCTTCATTCCAAAATTTCCAGCCCAGTCATGAAGAGGAGGCGTTACCATCATACCCTCGATATATAGAGCCACGTACTCTGGTAACCTTCACTTTGAAGGCTATGAGGGGACACAACCTTCACCTGGAAAAAAACAGAAGTCATCCGGGGCTACGCCCTGGATGTTATTATCCAGACTATATCGGAACGTATGTTAATGAAGCAAATATAGAGAATAATATCTCTAGCTCATTTCAGCGAAACCGAGAATCTGCGTTTCCATAGCCTTTTTTACACAAAAAGAAGGTTTCTGTGGAATTTTCGCCAGAATTCAGGACAAAATTTCTCAGTTAACCTCTCTTATGAGCAAAATAGAGTTTCAGAAGTTTAGGAAAGTTATTGGATTCAAATAAGAACGAGAGACTGCGCTTGAATCTCGCGCACGAAAACGCTGGTCTGTCTCGTTAATGAGTGATTTTCAGAGCTTGGGACATTGTCAGTTCTCCTCGACGGTCATGACGATCAGAATGATATATAATGTTGCAAGGTTTCGTCAAGACCCCGCGTAGATCTACGACCAGAGCCAAATGCCCCGTCGGCTCTGGTCTGTCTCCGCTGCTCGTCTGCGTCCCCCCACGGGGGTGATCAGCATGCTTGATTACCCCCCCCCCCTGTGCCAACTCCCAGCCCTGTAGCTCAAATTTTGAAAAAATCGATAAAATCGACATCGATCGATGACGAAAAGTAGCCTATGACACCCGCCGGGGCCCCAAGTGTATGTGTGCCAAGTTTGGTCCCGATCGGTTCAGAAATGGAATTTTCTATTCGGAACATACGTACATACAGACAGACAGACAATCAGCTTTATATATAAGATTGGAGCTCTTGATCTCTATTTTCACGCTGACATTGTCCCAGAACCAAATTTTTTGATTTAATCGAGAAATCTGGCAAAAACCTTGTTTTCGAAAACCTCTTGTTTTTCTCCTAGTTTAACTATTTTCACGCGGTTTTTTCGTGCATTCCATAGATCTTGCTTCTGTTTATAATGCAGACAACCACCCAGCCTTTATCTCTTCGATTATTATGGAATTTTTTGCGAAAAATCGTAAAAAGTGCATTTTTCTTTACCTTGTTCTGTTTCAGTGCTTTCGCATCGATTTTTTCCAGCTTGGGCGACTGTTGCTCAGAACAATAAGCGCAACAATCTAGACAACGTCCCAGGAAACAGGAACGTCAATGCGGGGGTAAAAATTTAAAGGACGCATCAAAAATCAACACCCCGTTGCGAATTGCTGGTCCTAGAGCGAAAACTTGCACTCTGAAAAGCCGCCAAATGAAAGATTTCAAACCTTATTGCAGCGTTTTTATCCGGTTTACAGCGGTTTCTTTTGCTTTTTATATCTGTTTTACATCATTTTCTCTCCTGCGATCTTCTTCAAACAACCTTCACTATTTATGACGTCAGATGTTTAAACAACCTTCACTTTTGGCGCCCTGTCTCTAGACTATCGAAGTAATCATCCCCACTACCCCCCTCCCTCCTTTCGCGTTGTTGATGGTAAGGGTTACCATCAACAACGCGAAAGGAGGGAGGGGGGTAGTGGGGATGATTACTTTAGAGGGGGAGGGGGAGGAGAATGGTGACATTGACTCAGCACTATATGAGACTCAAAAATAAACTAGTTGCCTATGTAAGTTGAGAAAACGCGAAAATGGCTAACAACTTTTTTTCACTTGCAAAAAAATCAAAGGCAGCGTCCAGGCAGAATCTCGACTTCTCTATTTTTGCCTTATCCAGGCCTCTTCGTGGCGCTGATTCCAAGTATGGCACTCAAAATGCGTGATTTCCTCAACCCCCCCCCCCCCCCATTTTAACACGTCAAGGGTGAAGAGAGTTCGTTCAAGGGGCGGACCGTTCGGGGGGAGTGGGCGTGGCCCTCGGGGCTTGAATGAACTCTTCTCTGCCCTTTACGTGTTTTCACGTGGCAAACAATGGAACACAAAGTGTCTACCTGTTGAGGCTTGCTTTCGATTAGGACTGCATTAGAAGCACTCGTCCACGCTTCTCACAAAATTGTTGCAAAAATGGGGTTTCTTAAGGAATTCATGCATTTTGAGTGCCATATTTGGAATCAGCGCCGTGAAGAGGCCTGGATAAGGCAAAAAAAGGAGTCGAGATTCTGCCTGAACGCTACCTTCAAGTTGCCCTATGATCAAATTAGCTTGTCATAGATTTCTAATTTTCGAGAATCTTGAAGATCTTACAGCATGATACAAGAAAGGAGAGTCGCTACGATGGAATGCTCGAAATATGCCTTACATCAAACTATAGCACTACGGCGCACTTTTGCAAGTTAGTTTTCTCGGAAATCAAATCCTAGTTGGAATTTCATTACAAGCTTGCAAGCAAAAAGAGCAGTCACAAGAAATTTTCTGCTTATTTTCTGCAAAGCATTGAAATGCGGAACCGCTTAGAGCAGATTGATGAGGTAGATTTGAAGCACAGGTTATCGTCTGCCATCATTTGCGCATGCCAAAAAGAAATGATATGTGCGACGGGTTTTGCTTTGCATCATTTGAGCCAGCTCCTAAAGGATACGTTTATAAAAAAAACGGATTCGCTCTAAAAGTTGCGAAATTAATTTCCGGTATCATGGCAATCTCTTCGCTTATAACTTTTTCACTGCTATGCAACATTCTTTTGAGATAGATCGTTCATGTTCAAGCAGAGGTGTCATTGACAGCGCAGGTTCCATACGCGAAGTTTACTAGCCATTGTAAAGCTACAGAAAAATGCTGTGACCGATCCAAAGCGCTTCATCAACCAATTCACAGGAAATCATTTCTTTGCAGAAACGACAGCAAAAAATGACATTGGTGGTGCTAAGCGCGTTAGCAAATCTCCAAATTCTGTAGAAGTGCTGAAAAACTTCCGAGCTGGTTTTTGATATTTGGAAATGTGCTGGCAAGGACTGAAACTTCTTGCATTGATCCATGCAAATAGCAAGGACGAAACACAGCTCGACGATTCTCGGAGCTATGCTGCACATGCTGCTTCACCTAGTTTGCGACTCTTTTCCGCAATTTATCGGTGTTTTCGTTCAGGAATTTCGGACACAAGCTCAACAGACAGTAAACTTTTCTCAAGCCAAATTGATCATCTTGAGGCGGCAGGAGCTCCAGCGGCTTGCGATTTGACCGTATCATCGTAAACCTACCGTAACCCCAAGAGGAGACTCTACTGTAGCGAGAGGGGCATGATTATCGGAAACAGCATATCAAATAATGCCCCGGTGCAAAATTTTTCCTTTGTGTTCTGTTTGAAAAACTGTGCCATAGTGTCCAAGGTGATGCACATGGTGTAGCACGCTATCTTACCGCGCTCAAGCTGAGGTTCGCTATGCCTCAACGGCTGTAAACAAACCATTTCACCCTCATTAGTGACCGTAACAGAACGATGTTAGTAAAAACAATATATCGTCCATTCGTTGACCGCACGGACTGCTCAAACGCTGCAGACCGCGCGCGGCGCGGCTGAACTGTCGCGAGAACACGACTTCTACAATGGCAAATTTGTACTGGGACAAGCGTTTTACCTCGCGGCGCATGCTCCGCAGTGATGTCCAGTCCGTGCCTTTAAAGGCACCGTCCACCCTAAGTTGAGGGTGTTGAGCTTTTGGCAGCATATAATAGTAGGGCCCCCTATCAATCCAATGCCCAAGTCGCGGCGCAAAATGCCGCTTCGGAAACGAGAAACGCTTCGAAATAGCAAAGATGTACGAGGACCCCCCATTCATGCCCGCCCTCCCCCATCCATGCCCGCCCATTTGTGCGCGCCCATCCAATCACCGTTCCGGAAAGCCGGCCTGTGGGTTCTCCGAAACGGGGATTGTCGGGGTTTTCGCGCATTCTCGATTTCATATTCGGAATCAGGGACATGAGAAGGCCCTCAAACGACAAAAACGTGGAGGTCGAAAATCTGGGTGGACGGTGCTTTTAACCAGCTATCATCTATCCTATGACTAGGAGGCGTGAGACTGCATTGCAGACAAGTTTGAGTTTCTTCTTTCCTGTTTCTAAAGAGTGAATTAACCTGGACGAGATGAATAAAATTATAGACCTGCTAAGTAAAGGCTATCGCATGACGAAGGCGCAGAGAATGAATTATTTATAGTCGAGTATATTTCCTTGCTAGTGTGTGCAATTGCACATTTTCCACGATACCGACAATGGAACGCGAGTTCACCAGGTATTAGGTTGCTAAGAAAGTTTTCGGACATTTTCAGACTAGAACTGCTATTTCTCGAAACCTAATGCATATACATCCGAAAGAAATACCATTCGATAGAGCAAAGAAAGCTCTACAAGATGGTATGCGAAAGTTCGCACCATCTTCGAAACACCGTAAGTTTGCATCCCAAATCTGAGTCGTACTGAGGGCTCGAAAACTGGGAAAAAATCATATCTTCTTTCAAAAAATTCTACGGATCTCCAACTTGCTCATAAAAATTGCATACTACAGGGTGTCCGTAAAGTATGTATGCACTGTTTAATCGTTAATATCTCCGTTCCCAGGGGGTCTTTTGCCGAGCCTCAAGCACCATACTGCAGAGCTGGCTTCAACTTAGATTTGCAGTATGGAGCGAATCGCCGGTCTCCTCTCATTACTGTAGTATTACGGTAGAAACTTGAAACATATGGCGTCAATGTGGAAAAAGCTGCCGTTTCAAAATTTTTCAAAAAAATGTGAAAACTTGTATAACAGAATTTTTATGGACGCTGAGTTCAATACTCAACTATTCACAAGGTTGTGAAGCTTTTTAAACGGTGTAACCGAACTTTTTGGGGACATTGAAAAAATGGCCGCTACCTTTTACCCGGCATAACTCTTCAATGAAGCATCACAAAAAGTTGGGAACTTTACTGTTAGAATCAGCAGCTCTAACTAGCCTAGTGTAAAAGTTTTCAGGCTGTTTTGTTTCATTTCGGAGGCAAAATATGGCCTTTCATGGCCCAAAACCCTCTTTGAAGTTTCTACCGTAATCCTACAGTAATGAGAGGAGACCGGCGATTCGCTCCATACTGTGAATCTAAGTTGAAGCCAGCTCTACAGTATGATGCTTAAAGCTCGGCAAAAGACCCCCTGGGAATGGGGATATCAACGATCAAACAGTGCATACATACTTTACGGACACCCTGTATATCGGAAACTTATATGTACCGTTGCTGTATTTTTTCCTCATTTAGAAATCGAGGAAACGAAAATTTTCTTGTTTTAAAAAAAAGAAGCTGTGCTGTTGTCGTGTAGCTGTATACTACAAGCCCTTAAAAGTATAATCTTGAATTTTCAGCTTTCTAGAAGCCCTAGTTTTCTAAAATTACCTAATTTCGCATTTAACATTCGAGTGAAAAAAGCTAATTTCGGTATTTTTCAAAAACTAGGGCTTCTGAAAAGCTGAAAATTGACATATACTTTTGAGGGCTTGTAGCATACAGCTACATGAATAGAAATAGCATAGCTTCATTTCTGTAAAAACAAGAAAATTTTCGTTTTTTCGATTTCTAGATGAGAAAGAAATACAGTAACAGTACGTATAAGTTTCTGATATAGTGTGCAATTTTGGAGATCCGTAGAATTTTTTTAAACGAAGATATGATTTTTTCCGTTTTTCGAGCCTTCAGTACGACTTACGAGGGAAGTACTTTCAATGGTCGTGGCTGTTTGATATGAGATGCATATCATCTGAAGCAGCTTCGAACGCTGATTTCAAATCTGCTTTCCGTTTCTGCGGAACGCTCTTCTGAAGAAAGTTAGGAAGCCTGAACATTCTATTTTGGGGGCGCCCCTTCAATTTGAGGGCGCTGCTATGTGAGTTGGTGGTGCATGTAATGATTATTTGCTGACATTGAATGCGAGAGGTTGATGGTTCAAATCCGGTGGAGAGCGAGCCATTTTGCATTTTGAATGTGAGTTTAAAAGCACTCTAAATCGTCTGCAGACACTTACTGTAATGCCTTAGCACAAACAGGAGAGGAACATCTTTTCGACTAATGACAGTGTGCATTTTTTGAGCTTTATGTGGTGACAATTGCTAGGCCATGTTTGGTCCTGTTTTACTATAGGCCGTCCGCGCAGGGCGCGGAGAGTGCGCAAGGTGTGTATTGCGCGTCACTCCTCTTTCCCCGCGCACTCTCGCCGCCTATTTTTCTCTGCGCTCAACTATCTTCACTGGACGCAACAGCGTTGGTTTCCGCGCGCAGCGCGGACAACCTATAGTAAGGAAGTCAGATATAATTTCAGTCTCATTACAAGCAGATTTGCCAGAAAATTCTTTTTCTAGGTCACTTATTGTAAAGGCATTACAGTAAGTGTCTGCAGGGAATTTAGAGTGCTTTCAAACTCACATTCAATAAGCAAAATAGTTCGCTCTCCACCGGATTCGAACCATCAACCTCTCGCCTTCAATGTCAGCAACTAACCATTACACTACTGCACCACCAACGCACCTAGCAGCGCCCTCAAACTCAAGGAGCGCCCCCAAAGTAGAATGTTCAGGCTTCCATAACTCTTTTCAGAAGAGCGTTCGCACAAACGGAAAGCAGATTTGAAATCAGCGTTCGAAGCTGCTTCAGATGATATGCATCTCATATCAAAAGGCCACGGCCATTGATAGTACTTCCCTTGTTAGATTCCGGTTGCATTACGGTGGGTCGAAGCTGGTGCAAACCTTCGCAAACCATTTTGTAGAGCTTGCTTTCCTACATCGAATGGTACCCCTGAGTGATGTTTATGCATTAGGTTTCGAGAAATAGCAGTTCTAGTCTAAAAATGCCGAGACCTTTCTTACCAACCTAATAGAAAATTCAGACTGTTTTCACTAAAATTTGAAATACAGAAAAAGAAATTTTCTACGAAATCAACAAAGAAAACCAAGAGCAAAAAAAGCAAGATCTGGACCCCGTTGCCAAAGTCTTGGAAAATGAGCAATTGCTTCGCTGTACTTTGCGAATGAAAGGGTGTGACATTGATGACGCATCGCCACAATTTAGATATGCTCAACTTCCCACACAAATGAAATATTGTTTGCAAGAAGGTCGCATCGCGGCACTTTCGAAAACCTTTTTGAAGTTCTGATGCAACAACAGGGAGTAAATGTCTCATTTGTAAAAAATGAAATCACAATAGTCCTTAATTTAACGCTCTGCTTGTGTGAATTGTACTTTTTTGAGTTCGGACTGGTAATTGCAGAATCGAAAGACTTTGACGAGACTCTTGTTTTCACTTCGTGCAATCTCAGTTCACTTTTTCATGGCCTTTTTTTGACTGTGCCGCCACCGGCGTGCTGTACTGCGAATTACGAAATTGGTGCAATCACACAACGGAGCAGTTGGGATGACAATGACCGCTGATAGACCATCACCACAAATTCTTGCTTCAGCAAATGCACAGGACGATAAGTGCAATAGGCGGGCTAACCAAATTACAGTTCAGTTCATTTATGTTCTATCCTGTGCAATTGCACACAACGTGTCGCGTGTTCCCATTCGAGATTAATGGCCGCATTGCAGCGGAAAACCTTCTCTGTCAGTTTATGGAAAGAACAACAAGTAAGAAAGCAGGAAGAAGTGCGTTTGAGAGCAATGCCAGGATCTGACGCAACGTGTGTATTAAGTGCAATTGCACATAAAGCGAAATGACTTACAGTGGAACTTGACCTAGACTGTACTTCTTTGAAGACATTGTGCCAAGAATTTATATTTCACACAAAGCGGCAAAGTCAAAAGCCAAAAGTAGCGCCAATCACTGCTTCTCCCAAACTAGGAAATAATGCGTCTTTAAAGAGTCTTTGATGTTTCAAATAGTGTTCCGACCATGACTGATAAACAAAGGAAGTTTAATTTTTTTGCTTTAATCTTACGCAATAAGTCTGGAACGTGACGACGAACATTTACATCCGGTTCCACTTCGGTAACGAACTAGTGGAACTGTCTGGCAAGCAATATATGAGAATTTGATAGAACTTGAGGACAGTTGTCCTAGAGATTTTATCATCTTTCTAATCGTTAGAACGAAAAAGAAAAGTTTCGAATAAGAAGTTTGCAGCGATCGATCTGTTACATGTACTAACATTCCACATTTCAAATGCGTTTTTGAGCTGTTCGTAAAAATAAAAGTATTAAAAATGCAAAAATCGCACAAAGATGTATGAACGCAACATAGACGTCCAAGAAACCCGTTATTTTCGTGAGAAATTTGTTTTGTCCGAGCTACGGAAGCCACAGGTGTAACCGTAGTGCCGTTCTTTGCACCGGGTTACGCCTTGTAATGCGAAACCCTGGAAAGTTCATTGCTTTTGCGAGTGAAAAAAAAAATAGTTGTCCTAAAGACCGGTTTGTAGCCTTGTAGATGCACTATAAATGCTAGCTACTGAGAGTCCACCTTATGCCAAACATGGACGGTGACACTAAGGCTGCGGTAAGTTCCCGCTTCCCACTTATTGACATTTCGAGATATGTATCGTGAAAATTGTTATTTTTTAGGCCTATCGCTTCGTCGGCTATGCAGCGCTGAGCTTCTCAGCTGTAGCAGTACTATCGATATGTGTGACACTGCCTGTAGTGTATAACTACATCCACCATGTCCGTGCTAGCGTCCACCATGAACTTATGGAATGCCGTGAGGAGGCCAATAACATCTACAGAGATGTCAATATTATCCCCGACATGCCAGTCAGCAACCCCAGCAACCGAACAGCCCGTCAAGTGGCGGGACTGGAGAACCCAGACTACTGCAAAGGCTGCTGTCTTCCAGGTATATCACTCCCACTTCGCATAATGCTCCCCTGAAAACAGTCGCTTTTTAGGACCGCAGGGACCTCCAGGACCACCTGGTAGACCCGGTAAACCAGGTAAAGATGGTGCACCGGGAGCTCCAGGTAACCCCGGACGACCACCACAGGAGCCTTGCGAGCCCATCACCCCACCGCCATGTCCTCCATGCCCTCCTGGCCCACCAGGAAAGAAGGGACCGATCGGACCTATGGGCAACCCTGGACCACAAGGACCAATGGGCGAGAAAGGACCAGACGGACCGAAAGGCCCACCAGGTCTCAAGGGTATGCAGGGACCGGCTGGCCCGGCAGGCAGTCCAGGACCTATGGGAGAACCAGGCGAGCCAGGCAAGAGCGACGAGCCGAAACCTGGACCAGATGGAGAACAAGGACCACCTGGTCCACCCGGACCTCAAGGACCTATGGGACCACCTGGAAAAGATGGCGAGAATGGTCCTGATGGAGAAAAGGGACCAGACGGTGTTCCTGGAAAACCAGGTGCCGATGGAGAGGACGGCCCACCAGGACCACCCGGTATGGATGGACGTCCAGGAGAACGTGGTATCTGCCCGAAATATTGCGCACTCGATGGTGGCATATTCTTCGAGGACGGAACCAGAAGACGACGTTAAGCAGTCGTATAGTCATTGGAATAAAGCAGTTTATAGCAAATTTTTGTATTACAATGGAACTTTGAAACAAGCGTGTCCATGAGAACAAAACTACATCAAAAAAGAAACAACCAACAAATCTGTCAAAACACCTTAGTAGGCCATTATATTATTCATATTTTTATGGGCAAAATGGTTGTTTATTGGAGCATCAGGTTTCAGACTTCAAGTCACATATGCAGTTTCAGCCGGGTGCACTTGACAATGCATAGGCTCGCCAAGCGGTGGTTCTCATGTGCGCACTAACAAGTAAAAAGGCCATGCAACTATGGTACCGCCTTGCGCTGTTTAGCATACGCTCCATTTGGCACTAAAGGTTGATACAAAATTTAGAACAAAAGAAGTTTTGCCCAAACAGGAATGTCAAAGACGACTGTAATCGTTGAGATCTGCGCTGCTTGACTACTCTAGCAACACTTCGCATTGTTACCAGCTATAGGTTTAACCATTGTCGCTACCTACCGAGAGCCACACAATTTTAATTCATTCATTAATTCTTAGCAAAAATGCATTCACATTAGCGTGAAGCGTAAACGACTATGCAAGGTAAAAGCGCCTGGAAGAGGCTGCACACTTTTAAATGCCTGCGAAGTTGCGGGCATTGTTTAGTTAATGTTGGCATTTAGTGAAATCTTCGATCCACGGCACCTCTACCATCGCTTCAAAAGCCTTCCCTGAACAATAGACTGCAACTCGTTACAATTTTTCTGTGAAAATTAGTCCACCAGCACAAAGTCGACCAGTGTTAGCGGATCAGACTGATTACGGATTTCATGAGCAGATAGGCAGAGATATATACCAATGCCTTACTCGAGAGCAGAAGCCAACAACGCTGTCTTAACCTCCTTAAGTCACAATCGAGCTAAACTGCACTTTGTTGATGGTCTGGGGGGGGGGAGACTTATAGTGTGGACCCCGGCCAGCTTCCCATAGGTAACGTCGCGGCGCATACGCAACGCGCGCTCGGCCTGACGCTTCTCGTTCATTTATAAGTAAAAAAGCATTTCTACAAGATGTAGGAATGAAATAAGAAGTGGAAACCATCAGTCTCAGCTCGAGAAGGGCCTAGGCAAGAAGAGAACGTTCACAACCCCACTAGCGCGCAGATATTAGTCAATCTCCTGCATGTTAGTATGAAAGTACCGCTGATTGAGAATTCTAGAGGAGACAAAGAGTCGAGGGCTTCTCGAAACGTTTCCTTCTGTGATCATGTGAAAAAAGTTAAAAAGCGTAAGCTGGCGAGCACATTTGTACAATCAGAGCCCCACTGACGCATTACAAAAGAATAAGAAGCAGTTATACTTTATAAATCAATCGGATAGGCACGCTTACTCTGTGATCAAAATCTTTAGAGAAATATTCCACTGGAATATGCTAAAATCTCCGCTATTGAAAAAAAGGGAATTCCTGGGACAAAAGCTGTTAAGACTATTGAGGCACTAAAAACCCATCGTAGGAAGTTGTCCTGAGTCGTCTACACCTGAAACAGAGCGTTCACAAACAGAACAAAGCCAGTTTAGAGAAGAAAACATAACAATTTCCATATGAAGCAGAAACGAAAGCGCACTGAAGGCATGCGCTGCGGGAGCGTCGCGCAGGTACCTATGGGAAGCTGGCCCGGGTCCACACTATACCTGTATAACGCCTTCTACCACATGTTCAAGGGTCAGCGGAAGGATTTATATGTGTGAGTACAAGTATTGCTGCAAATTTCTACCCGAAAGCAGACAAACTAGCCCTACTTTCAAACTGATTATGTGGAGGGAACCGCGAATGCATGCTGCGACAAAAATTCGCAGACGCCAGCCCCTCTTAAAAAGCAGATACCGTCATTTGGACGAGTTTAGCATGGTTTCGAAGTTCTCGCTTAAAGCAGTAATTCCTCCTATAGGATCTGATCTGCAACTGCGATCCTTTTGGTGGGAAGACGATAGTTCTGGGCGGTGACTTTCAACAGGTCTCACCGATCGCAGAACCAGGGAGAGATTGCGATATGATTGATGCGTGCGTCAAGAACAACTATGTGTGGAAGTCGTTCCGCATGCACCGGCTCATAAACAACATGAGAGCTGCGGAAACGGCATCTTCTTGGTGTGATTTTTTCGATGAGAGTGGATAATCGTGATGCAGAATAAAATGAAACGAGTTGAATAGAGTTGCCGAATGAGATAGTTTTTGTTGGAAAATCATTCATGGGGTTGTTTCAAACTGCTGACTGATTTTGTGACTCTAACTAGGGAACGATACTTGGTGTCCGCGGCCTTTTGAGATGAAAGTATACCTTCACATTCCTTTCACATTCCTTGAAACGCTGATTCCGAATCTGGCTTCTGTTTCCGCTAAACGTTTCTCTGGAAGAAGTTATGAAGGATTTTTGCGCAATGGTCGTATAAGAGAAATACGGTCGACGATGCCTAACTTTCAAAAAAAAATTTTATTGAGGCCATGCAAAACTGAAGAGCACAAAAGGACTCGAACCTAAATCTGCATTAACTTGCAAGGCTATCCACACTAGCCACTACACCACGTCTCAGCGGCGGTTTTGGCATTCCGACAATATTTCCTTTGCTGGGATATTCCTTCATAACTCTTTTCAGAAAAACGTTTAGCAAAAACTGGAGTCAGATTCGGAATCAGCGCTCTAAGACGAGTGTAATGATATACTTTCATCTCAAAAGGCCGCGGACACCGAGTATCGTTTCCTTGTAAGTAAACGAGCAATACTTAGAGCTCGGCACGAGCTGGCACCAAAAAATTTTTAAAACGAAGCCCCTTTAATCTTGAGAATTTCTACGAAGTCCCCTTTGACCCTAAACCCTAAACATAAGAAATCAAAAAAAAAAGAACCGTTGACTAAAAAACGCCGCATTTTTTGTCTTTTCGCCCACAAAAACGATATCCCCTTTGCTTTTGTCCTGAAACGATATCCAGCTTCACCTGGTGCCAACTATGCCGAGCCCTGGCAATACTGGCACACGAAATCTCGATGCACATCGAAAGCGATGATGTGATCAGCGATAAGCCACAAACGAACGAGTATGCTTGGTTTCGACACCGATGTATTATCGCCCCATAAGTTGAGATTAAAAGGATCAGTTGTCATGCTTTGAAAAAACTCGATGTTCGAAGTGGGCTGTGCAGCACTACAGTCGAGTAGATTTAGCGGTAAATATAGTGTGCTTGCACAGAAAGTGAAATGCGGTAAAATTTGCGCGTGAAGAAATAGTTTCGACTGTGACGCCGGCCAATTGCGCGCGCAAGGTACCCGCAGTACTGGCGTGGCTTCTTGTCATGCGCAAATTTCACCGCACTTCACCTTCTGTGCAAGCACACTATATTTACCGCTAAATCTTCCCGACTATAGGCTGACTGATTGTCACGCACTTTGGTCGCCTTGGTTTGGGATGCCGATTTGCATCCGGTGATCGGAAAGGGAAATCAGTGTTGTTCCGTATACAAGATGATATTAATACGCTTCCTTTTCGACTACGAAGAACGCAGTTTCCAGTCCGTTTGCCATTTGCAGTGACAATAGATAAGGCCCAGGGACAAACTTTGACGTAGGAGTTTCACTCACAACGGACGTGTTATTATATGATCAGCTTTACGTCGTGTTATCTGAATTCCGATGGAACGAAGGAGAAAGGGTGCTTAAAAAAGATGAAAGGGTAGAAATGTGATGCATAAGCGTCCGCAGTCAGCGGCCCTAGTTTTTGAAGCTTGGATAAGAGTGAGCAGATTATCAAAGACATTGTTGCTAAGCTCTCCGTTCATTATGCGGCGAAACGTTCTTATAAGTGTTTTTGCCAGTGGCGTACCCAGGATTTCTGTTCGGGGGGGGGGGGGGGGGGGAGGGGACAAAAATGCTTTGGATGAAGGTGCGTGACGTTAGCCAGGCACTTCGAAAAAATTTTGGGATGCTTCCCAAAATTTTATCGGGTCCCTGACCTCGAGTAAAAATAAGTCGCTTGCACATTTTCATAACACATTTGAGTAACTTCAAAAATTTTGCAACCCTTCTCGAGGGGGGCGCCCCCCCCCCCCACCCTCCCTACTTTCGGTACGCCTCTGGTTGCCATAAACATCACTCATGTCTTCGGTGGCGTGCCGGCAAAATTATTTCGTATTCCACTTTTTCACCTTTCCTTCTCACCATAAGGAATCGATGTCTGGGCTTTCCAGGGCAAGAAAACTGCTAAAATGAGCTTCCGAAGCTTTCCAAATCTGCATTCAGCGGGAAACACGTGTAAGTGGGCGGGCCCGGGGTTAGGAAGGCAAGGTGCGGAGCACTTCCGACGTATACGAACCTAAAAAGCTTTGAAAAAGCCATTTTCGCCATTTTCATGCGTTGAAAAGCCCAGATATGGGTTTCTCATGGCGAGAAGGCTTCGAATAGGTAAAAAACGAACAGCGAGATTTTGTCGGGACGCTGCCTTTGAGGAGCACTTGCATCATTACACACGACACATACGCTCCAAAAGATTTTTACTGAATATTCTCTTAATGGAGGAAAAAAGACCAAGAAAGAGATGCTGGTGTAGAACTACGAAAGAAATGCGTCTTGGGAGGGGAACGGTCCAAAGGCAAAGATTGCTCGGCTCACCAACAAGAGAAGGAAAATTTCTCACAACTGGTGAGATTTTTCGCTACAATTGCTGAATTGGAGGATTTCGAAGCAATCTTGCTCTTAGGAAGTGCGAAGCCACTCTGGCAATGACGACTACCAAGACGCGCGCCTTTCCGCATACACTCGTCCTAACATGAGACGCGCAGTATGTGCATTCGGTGCAATGACACATCTCTCTATATATAAAGCAGAAAATTTGTGTGTTTGTGTGTCCATGCACATTTTCCATAGTCATGAAGGATGAGCGGTGAGCTCATTTTGATCTGCTGGTCACCAAGATATGGTAGGGACGGTAGAAGCGAACCCATGACGAGTCGGAATCAAAAGAAGGGTGAATTTCGCTACATAAGAGATCAAGTACGATGGACTGGCTCCGGACCGGGTGGAACCCGGGATGCCAGCTCGTATGAGAATATCGTGTGAACCGTGCATCTTGAATGACAGTACTGTCAACAATACATATTGAGCGAATGGAGAAGCGCGAAAGTTGTGTTGGGAAACTTATGCTATAACACCTTTTCATATACTGGAGAATAAGGTATTTTTAGGGAGTCTTTGATGTTTTAAATAGTGTTCCGACCATGACCGATGAACCATGACCATAAACTATCTGATTTTTTGCTTTGTTCTTATGCAATAAGTCTGGAGCGTGACAAAGACGAAAACATTTAAATCCGGTTCCACTTTGATGCAACATAGTGGAACTGCAGGGCTAGCAATCTATGAGGATTTGATAGAACTTTGTAACTTGAGAGATTTTATCGTAATATAGAACTCCAATCTATCGTTATTCTCCGAAAAAAAATGGAGAAAAGTTGCTAGCAAGAAGCTTAGAATGATCGATCTGATTCAAGTACCAGCATCCCACTCCTCAGATGCATGTTCGGGCAGTTTGCAACTAACGTTTGCAAATAATAGAAGCACCAAAAAAATACAAAAGTACTAGCAACGAATTTATCAACACAGTGTAAACGTCCAAGAAACTTGTTATTTTCGTGAGATTTTGTATTTAGCCGAACTGTCGGAAACGACAACTGTAACCGGTGTTGTTCTTTGCGGCTACAAATTGTAATGTGAAACCCTGGAAAATTCACTGCTTCTGCGAATGAAAAATAGGTTGAGATAAAGACCGGTTTGTAGCATTAGAACACACTATAAATGCTTCCTACTGACAGTTACCTTATGCCAAACATGGACGGTGATGCTAAGGCTGCGGTAAGCTTCCATCCACTCAAATTTTTAAGTATAGGCGATTCTTAGCACGCAAAGACTGCGGACTTATCTGAGTCTCTCTAATCGAGCGCTCTTTCGTCTCTCTTACCGTCTGCTGTCTCTCCCATGAGCGAGCTATCTTGACCGGAGGCAACGGTGCCCAGTCTTTGCGTGTCATGAATCGAGTATATATCTTCTTGGGTTTCATATTTACAGGCCTATCGCTTCGTCGGCTATACAGCGCTCAGCTTCTCAGCCGTAGCAATACTATCGATGTGTGTAACACTGCCTATAGTGTATAACTACGTCCACCATGTCCGTGCTAGCGTTCACCGTGAACTTATGGAATGCCGCGAGGAGGCGAACAACATCTACAAAGATGTCAATGTTATACCTGATATGCCAGTCAGCAACCCCAGCAACCGAACAGCCCGTCAAGTGGCGGGACTGGAAAACCCGGACTACTGCAAAGGCTGCTGTCTTCCAGGTATGTCACGAATTCCCTTCAGTAATTGCTTGTTTAGAATTGTCCACGTTCTTAATCTTGGCATGGTCGATACTCGTAGTTGATATGGTTGAGCGAACTTCCAAGGTCGATAACTTATGCTAACGTTTCAACGCTTTCGCCTTCTTCAGCTTGCAAGCCGGAATCGTATGAACCCACTAGCTCAGATATCGATACATCGTTCGAAATCAGAGTTAGTGCAAAACAAGACCATGTTCATGGGCACAAAATTCACCTTAGACAGCACAAAACTGGAGTGCGTGGACCACCTCTGCACAAGACTCAACCTCAACTAGCCCCTTAGACGTGCCTTGATGACGCGACCTTCTATTTGAATCCGCATAGGGACATAAGCGCTGATAAGCGCGAATTTCCTCTTCAAAGCGGGTCACGTCTTTCCGAATTAGTTTTGGATTTTTGGCGCTAATCCGATTTGCTTCTAAAGCTTTGCGCATGGGGCTTTCGGGTTCTTGTATTTCAGCCTCGCCAAGGCGCGTCATTGAATCAGCTAATGCAACATCGCTGTGTCCAATGTAGCCAATGATGCTGCACTTCAAGCTAGCTTGGAGCTGCTGTCTAAGCACCAAGCCTCACTTAATTTACTTACATTAACATGCACAGTAAAATGACCCTACGTCACGAGTGCTTGTTCAGTATTTCGACGTTTGGGCCAATTTTACAAACAAATTAGATACTTGGCGACGGGGCAATATCTCGCACCTACTCTGGCTAGCACTTTCATGTCCAAGATAGAAGCGCCATTGCTGCAGCACATCCCTGCTTGACGGTCGCTATAGGCTCTAGGCTGCCACCTCCTGTGGGAGATGCGATATGGCAACGATTCAATAAGTTGCTGGCTGTGCTTTTTCTCGAACTGATTCCCTTTGAGAAGTACTCAAAACATTCGTTTTACACTTATTTTACGAAGGTGATGTGCGTGATAAAGAACTTAGTTCCACCATTTATAGCTTTCATGTGACGAAGGCGAAAGCGCCAAATGTAGCAAATAAAGCTCGCTTAATCAAATCAAGTACGAGTGTAATTGCTTGTCGCTGATAATCCCCTTCCAGGCCCACAAGGACCTCCAGGGCCACCTGGTAGACCCGGTAAACCAGGTAAAGATGGTGCACCGGGAGCTCCAGGTAATCCAGGCCGACCACCACAGGAGCCTTGCGAGCCCATCACTCCACCGCCATGTCCTCCATGCCCTCCTGGCCCACCAGGAAAGAAAGGACCGATAGGACCTGCGGGCAACCCTGGACCAGCTGGACCAATGGGCGAGAAAGGACCAGACGGACCGAAAGGCCCACCCGGTCCCAAGGGTATGCAGGGAGCGCCAGGCCCCGCAGGCAGTCCAGGACCTATGGGAGAACCCGGTGAGCCAGGCAAAAGCGACGAGCCGAAACCTGGACCCGACGGAGAACAAGGACCTCCTGGCCCACCTGGACCTCAAGGACCTATGGGACCACCTGGAAAAGATGGAGAACCTGGTCCAGATGGAGAAAAGGGACCAGACGGTATTCCTGGAAAACCTGGTGAAGATGGAGAGGACGGCCCACCAGGACCACCCGGTTTGGATGGAAAACCAGGAGAACGTGGTATCTGCCCAAAATACTGCGCACTCGATGGTGGCATATTCTTCGAGGATGGAACCAGAAGACGACGTTTGTAGTTATTGAAATAAAGCAGTTCGTAGCAAGTTTTTGTATCACACATGGAACTTTGAAAAAAAAAAGAAGCTTGTCTCCATGGACAATCACCACATAAGAAAAACAACCTCCAACAAGTGCCAGAACATATCAGAAAAGCAATGTATTACCACCGAATTTTAATGGACAGTATGATAGATTAGAGCAACATATATTGGTTTGGCATATTGGTTCCTTACTGAACTCAACATAATCTTCCAACGAGCACCACGTGTGCTCTGTAAATTTCGAAGTTGTGGTGTACGCACTAAAAGGTAAAAAGGCATACAAGATGAGGGCTACTGCCTCTGCCTACTTTGACGCTCCATCTACCGAACGGACTGAAAAGATGAAATAAGATTCACGAGAAAGTCTGACTCAAAAAAAATATTGTCAGAAAACAACTGTGACCGCTGTGTTCCACTCTTTGGGCAGTTTGCATTATTTCCAGCCATAGAGTGGTGCAATTTGAACACAGTTTCATGCATATATTTATTATTTGCAAAAAACGCATTCACAATGGCATGAAGCGTAACGGACTATGCTAGGGTAAAGCTATTGAATAACAGAATCCAATCCCACACAAAACACCAAACAAAAATCGAAGGTTATAATACATGTTCGTAGACTAAAGTTATTAGGATATTGCATAGCATTAGATACACAAATCGATAGCGGATGCTTATGGTCTCCATTTGTGCAGTAAGTACGAGTGTTTATGATGACAGTGCCCCAAAAGTAAAGGAATGCCACAAAAAATTACAGAGTGAAAAGCGAGATTTTGCGAAAGAAAATCAAGTCAATGTTGAAGTGAAAGATATAATGTAGAACTGATTATCGAAAATGTTTTTGATATCCAACCTTAAAGACTTCAGTTTGCAGAAGTCATAAAGCCATGCAAGAATATTTCAGATGTCTTCTCACGTCAATCGCTCACTTGCTGCAATTTTGCTCGAATTTTCGAGCAAGTATGTGATTGTGCAGCTCGATGTCGTGAGCACAGAGTTTTGCCGCACCTGAACCCAAGCACTTCATGCACTTTTCAAAAATCATTAACAGAACTCGTTACCTGCAGTTGAAAGCGCTATTAATTCTGAATGCGCATACATTACAGCGCGCAGCTCCACCTCTAATCGCTACCGACCGTACAGTTCGGGTAGATACACCTCGGCGGACTGGCAACTAGAAGTAATTTGGTGTAGCGCACTCGCGCAATAAATTCAAATGAGACTCACTGCAAACACGACATGATGAGTCTGACTGGCTTCGGTCTCATCTGACGATGATCCTTCACGAGCAACTCGTGGTTTGCTGCGTGCTCGTTGGCGACAGGTTGAAGGCGCTGGTGGATGCCTGTGACGGCGAACCTAAGCAAAATGGGATTTTTAACACATTGACGACCAAAGCCATTCTCGCACCAACAACCAACATTTCTCAGATAAAATCACGCACAATTCCATCTACAGCATACCTACAGTAGCGCTGGAATGCTGGCAAAAACAGTAGAGGTTTTTTTAAATTCCAGCATAAAAGAAAACTCCTACAGTTGGTTTGACACAAATCAGTAGTCATTTCAATGAGAGTTACGGTGTGTCAAACCACCACTGACGACCGCTTGACACACCATGTATGTCAAGCGGTCGTCAATGTGTTAAATGATCACTTTTTGCATGGAACGAGAAATGTTCAAATAAAAATAGGAAAGGTTCAAAAAGAATCAAAATTGACTGCATCACAGATACCATAGCAAGCGCCTTGAATTATTTCGAAGATACCTTTTGTCTTCGAAACTCGTTTGTCAGATCACAAACGATCATTCCTGATGACAGCTCTGACGGATCCTCTGATACCAATTCATCGCCAGTAGGTGAATCGACGCGAAGATTCTATAGAAGAAACCTTAGTTTACCGATTTTTTTGATTTATTCAGTAACCTAATTACCTCCAACTTCTCTAACGTCAGATTCATTCCTGCTCCGTTTGTTTCAGGCACTTCACCATGAGACTCTGGAACGCAATCAGCATCGTATGCAGGAAGATCTAAACCAAGCTGGTTTGGAGAATTACAAACACATCTTAAGTTGGAGGTGAAGTACCTTTTGCCGCACAATGGCTATTCGTCCTGGGTCGTCTGACGTGACGGGAACCATTTGCTACCGTAATCTCAGCAATTTTCATCGCCAGTCTTTTTTCATCATCTACGTCATGCTCTCTTTCTGTCTCTCCAGCACTGCTCTCTTTAGCACTAGTATCTTCAGCTGCGCTACATCCTCTAAAATAAACATCGCCGTACACAACTTGAAAAAAAAATTCAAATTGGAATGAAGTAAATTTGAAACAATCAAACAACAACTAAAATCTCACCTCCTGCTTCGGTGTCTATATTCGCGATCACTGACTTCGTCGCTTAGCAGCATGGCGTCATCTTGTTCTCTTCCATTGGCTGGGCCAGATCTGGCTACTACCACAAGTTTGAGAGTGGAACCTTCACGAATCCCTATGGTATCCATTTCCACTGCATCTGGTAAGGATCGCCCAGCGAAAACCTGAAAAAAACTCCAAATCACAGAACAAATATTTTCAAATCAACTATGGTTCACAGAAAAAACGAGAAAAAAGCTTTCGCGGAAATCTAAAAGAAAGATACAGTAAGCCAGATACAACTAGACATCCATCAACTTACTATAGCCTGGCGACTGGGTACGATCCGCTTTCTCCGCCATACCCTCTTTTTTAGTTCGCCGATCGTTTCAAATAGTCTGACTCGTTCCGACCACCGTTCGCCAGTCACCGATTCGATCCATATATCCACTGGCGTCAGGCTCATGATTACTGTCTATGAACCATAAGTAGGACACTACCTATTTCTGGAAATGAATGGAAGAATAAAATTGCGCAGAAAATAAAGCAATCATGTATACAAACGTACGATAACGTTGCACATAAACTTACAAAAGAGAAAGTTAAAACTCTTCATAAAACTCAACAATGGAATAGTTACACTTTTACAAGAACTCCAACTTTTACCGGGTACTCGATCAAAAAATCGTAAGGAAATCACGCGAAATGCAAAGCCACTCGGTCAATGAAATTGATCACATACTAGGAACAAAAACTAAAATAAATTATATAAATGCAGTAGTATCCTATCCAAGCAACGCCCGGAACGGAGGATGATAGCACTTTCTGTAAGCGGTTAACAAAACTCGCGCTAACTTCGACGATGTTACAAAGAAGTGAATTTTATAAAGAAAGAGCTGATACGGGAATTATATTGGAAATGGTCAAAAGCATGACTGAAACAAAGGATCGATGAGATTTGATAAAAGATAAAAACAATAATTTATGAGTACAATTCTGAGCGCAACGATAATCATGAAGAGGACAACTTAGAATTACAAACAACGATACTTACAAACTAAGTTCCCTTTCCCTACAATGAGGCACTGCCAAGATACCCTCCAACACTTATTTTACAAGACCACACAGATACACTGTACAGAGGAGATTTTTGGGAGAATCCTGATCTTCTAATAAAACTCAGCATCTTCAGTGTCCAACGAAGATTTGCGAACGGTTGATTGGCCTGAAAACTTTTCCATATTTCAACAGAACCATAAAAATTTGAACCAAGTAAGTTATGAATGTAACCATTGGTAAAGAGATGAGAAAAATTCCATGTAAAGTCATAACAGACGTGTGGTGACTGAGAAGAAGTCTCATTAGCGATGTTTTGACCCTACAAAACTAGTGAGTCTAAAATCACACTATGTAATATTTCTTACACCAGATTGCTGGAGTCTGAAGTCCAGATGCTGGGAGAGTAGAATCTTAGAAAAGACAAATCATAAAGGCTTGATAGAGTGGAAAAGATCGTGTGGACATAAAACAAGACTGCAAAATTAGTGTGATCCTCCATTTTTCTAAATCTCCAATCATAATGAAGGTTTTCCAGATAAGAGCCGCCGTACACCTTACTAGCAAAGCCGTAAATTGGAGCATTCATGCGTGCGGTTGCCCTTGACTTAAATGTGTGGTTCGGCGCTGCAACCAGCATTTTCCTTTCAAATAAGCAGTTGCACAAGTTTTTGCGATTCTAGTATAGAGATTTCTCCAAAGCTCGAAAAAATCCCATATAACAAATTTGCCATGCCCAGCAAGCTAAGCCGTTTTTAAGGACGCTGTTTCGATTCGAAGCAGTACCATAAAAAACTCCAATGAAGGTATGTAAAGTATTCGAACGCGATCGTGTATGAAAACCTCACATAACGATATATCATCAAAAGACGAAGCTTGAATTACAATACCTTTGCCAAACCTGCTTAACATCGGTAAGAACATAGTAGTAATATATAGGTTGCATAATGGTATATAAGGTACGCTTCCGCGGTTTCGACATCAGCCTCAGCTGCATCCTTTCTACATTCAACTGCCTGCCATGCATTCATTTCTTCTCTTCTCCCTTTGCGCTATTATAGTAGATCTCGCTTTTGCAAGTGGTAGGTGCAGAAAAAAGTTATTTCCATTTCTAGCCAAATTTTCTGTATTGAGAATTGTGCGATTTCGATTTTATCCAAAGTAGGCACTTCGATCACTGCCAACTTGGGGGACAAACCAAGAAGCATAAACAAAATTAGCTGTAAAGCTGAGAGAGCCCGTCCCTGAGGCACCGCCCAGAATTGGCCGTGCTAGCGTTGTGCCGATCAATCGATCATATGGGGTGCGTCGTAATGTAATTTCCAGCACGGCGCTGGAACGATGCTGGCACAACACTGCATATGGACAACTCTAGACGCTGCCTCAAGGATGCTAATGCTAATAACCAATGTATACATCCTTTCGAAACAATCATTTTTTCAGACTTTCATGACGGTTACCGTGAGTTCTTCGACAAGCATGGTAAATTACATAACGATGATGGATTTGAAAGCTCATACGACAAAGGATTCAAAAAGGGTTACGATGAGGGTGGACATGGCGAATATGGTAGCCAGAAGTACGGTGGTTGGAAAAGATATTCGAAAGGAGAAGAGCACGGAAAACACTATGGTAGTTTTCAGAACTTAAAAATTTCCAAATCGTTTTTACAAAGAGTTTTTAGGTATGAGCTATGGTGATGACTCTGGAAAGAAAAGCTATGGGGAAGGTTACGATAAGTACAAGTTCGGCCCCGTCCGTGAGTACCTTGGTGCTGCACATCATCACCATCATGGCCACGTCGACTACGACCCTTTCGAAACTAAGACGCAAGAATTCGAGGGAGCACATCATCAAGGCTTTGAACCCCATCATTATCACTTTGAACACCACGGTACGTTCTTCTCTCTTCTTCCACTGCGGTGATGTAGCGCAGCATTGAAATCGCACATTGAGACGCACATGTGTTGACTCTCTACAGAATAGATCGAAACATGCATAGCCTAATCATGACTGGAACCACTAGCGTTTCCCCTATATAATTCTATCGCAATCTTTTCAAAAGTCAAAATCTTATGATTTCAGAGTTCGAGCAGTGAAACAAGGTTGTATAACCTGCCACCTCAACGGTCTGCTCATTCTACGCTCCTCGAAAGGTTCTTGGGTTGCTTGATTTGTCATTGTGAATAAAGAAACATGACTGAAGCATGGTTGCAGAATAACATAGAAAATGTTCAACCAGTAAAAAAGCCTAACCGATCAAAGAATTACGCGTCAAAAATACAACTGACTCTGACGCCGATCGCTAAAGAAGATGCTGGACAGCTCGGATGCAGGGGTGTCCATCATACAAGCGAGCACTAATCTCATACAGTCTATAATATCTGGATCATCAGTACCGCACATCAACGGTATGCGTCCATGAGCATCCTAAAAATGAAAATCCATAGAGTTGAACAACAGAAAAGACGAGATTGGTCCTACCGCTATCGATATGGATTTTGACCCGTACGGAATAAACATCAACAAAAATTCGATAAGGCCATTTCTTACAGCAATATGTAATGCACTGGAACATAATATTATCTTTCACTTCAACAACACGAGCAAGAGAACACTTACGTTTCACCATTTTCATTTGTAGCATTGCACAGAACTCGTTGCCGATCATATTTGTCCAGGACAGCAGTCAATACCTGAAGTTCCAACATTAGACAAAACGTTATCTTCTATTTTCACGCTCACCTTTCCACTTTCTTCATTTTTACTCAAACAACAATGATGAAGCACAGTATTACCATTGCAATCTTTTTTAAACAGATCAACTCCAAGGCTGAGGAGATATTCTGAAATTCACCCACAAGTTTGAGTGGGCCCAAATACCACGATTAGCTCCAGATAGTCACCTTTTTCACTTTCGCCTTCATAAACCGAGATCAAGAGAGTTAAACCAACGAACAACTATGCACAACCAACATTCAAAGTAGTTGTGCTAATCAGACTTATTCTTTTAAGCCAGCACTTCCGCCGCGCTACGCTTACTGTACTCAAAGATCATAGCCCTTTAGGTGGGTACCAAGTGATTTGGGGTAGACGAGGTTGTGGAATATAGATTTATTCGCACGGGCGTAGATTAGTCGTGAAGAAGAGTTGAGGTGTCCCGGTGTGGACCGGGGAGCAACCTCTAATACATTCGGAGGCTCCTTATATAGGAAGGAAGGCGGAGCTGAACCGAGTAAAAGGTACAATGTACACGAGTTGGTGCTTGAAAGGAGGTGCCGCCGATTGGCTACACTCCTGCGCACGGGTACCACTCACTCTTGAGTGATTAGATACTCAAGAGTGAGTAGCTCACAATTTAGCCTACGGGTATTCCGTAGGCTATCTAGAATATAGAGTTCATCAATGGTTGATGATACAGAAATCATCAACACTCCGGGCGAGCGAGAGGAAAGTGAGATCTGGTAAGATCCTAATTAGAGTGGCAGATACATGTGAAGTTGACTAGCGAATAAGTTAATACCTACGCATACAGAAAAGTGAGCTATGAAGGAGGATTTGCAAGTAACTTGAACATACACACAAGAGTACAATTATTAACGTAAATTTATAAAAGCATCTGAAGTGATCGCTGGAGCTGGTGGGCGGTTTGGCGCTGCTTGTCGTCCTCGCCATTTCCTCCTCTTCCACTTTGAATCGGTAGTTGCTTCGTTGACGACCATATCCTTGATAGACGGCGTTCTTACACGATGTGTGTACTCATGGTGTCTTCTCTCCGGTGTGTTCGTCATCCTTATCTTGGCTTCATTGTTTGTGAACCGCTGCGGTAGCCATTCTATCCCATATCGGGGGCGGACATTGGAGTTCGTCGTGGAACGTATTGTGGCCAACCAACGTTGTCTGTCTGCTCGAGCTTCAGCGAGGATGGAAGCATTGACTGTTGATCTTGTAAAGGTGGATTGTCGGCTTTTGGATGAAGAACATGGCTGTAGCATCGCTCGTGACGGAATCGTTCTCCTTTGGATTGTTCCTTCATTTTGCTTTGGCAATAATGGCTTGTTGCATGTTCGAGTGTTCGCACTGTTGAAATGAGAGTACGCTTTGGGTTTCTTCAATCTCTCGTTGTGTTGTGGAGTTGGGCGGTTGTTCCTCAGTGTATTCTTTAGCGCTGATATGCAGCCGAATGTGCCGATGAATCTTGATGTGGTGATAGTGCAGCTCATCCCTGATATAACGAATCCGAAGATGGTTGGGGTCAGAATGAGCCCTGAAGGAAGCTTGCGCACTCTGTCGTTGTGGATAGTGACGAGATTTAGGAGATCTTGTCCTATGATCATGTCGGGTGAAACGCTTTTGCAGGAGAGCGTATCTTGAGCGATTATCAGCTTTTCATCAGAGATAAACCGCAAGTCTGCTTCCGTGAGGCTTGCTGTCTGCATGTCGGTAGTCAGCTTCTGCTTAGTGTGTACTGACAAGTTCTTGAGCTTTTCGGAGCTGTAAAGACTTTTCAAGGTGATTTGTACTTCAGATGAGTTGAATTGCTCTTGTTGCTCGCCCATCCCAGATGTAGTAAACGAAGTAGTACGAAGGACTGGAAGCTTGAGTCCTTCACAAAGTCCTGATTTGATGAAACTTCGTTGTGCACCGGAGTCAAGTAGTATCGTTACTGGCTGGTAATCCCACTCTGCCTCGTTGAATATGGTTGCTGAAACAATTTGAAGAATGCATTGATCCTGTGCAAGTGGAAGCACTTCGGGATTGTAGACTTCTTGTCGTGAGCCTTGTACGACGTGCGTACTACTCTTCTCATGACAATCCTGACTGATGTCACGGGATGACCAAGGAGCAGGTGAATGTTGATCAAGTGCAGGATCTCGGTATTGTGTCGAGAATCCTCTGCGTTTTCCTGCTTCTGACAAACAAAGAGATCCATGGTGTGATCCTCTGCATTTGGGGCACACGCCAAAATTCGTGCATGCGTTAGAGTTGTGATCGCTTGCAAAACATCTCCAACACACTCCTTGATTTGCTGCTTCAAGTCGTCGGGCTTCTGGTGTGGTGTACCTCTGACAGGTGTGAGGAGAATGTGGTTGTCCACATAAACACAAATGTTTTGATTTCGAAAAGTGTTTTTCTCTATCGCATCTGGTAGTCTTTTCATCTTCTTGGTTGTTTGGGTAGTAGTTGGTTGGAAAGAGAGTTTCCGTTGTTAGCAAGATTGTCTCTCGCAGTGAAATGATGCTGTCGATGGTGTTCAGGATTTCGCTAACATCAAATGGATCATCTTGTACCGCTTCTTTCTGGATGGCGGTCGTACAGATGGATTCGGGGAATTTGGAAAAGATTATTCGACGCCAAAGTCTGTCTGCGTTCATCTTTGCTCCCGTTTGCTCCAGGTGAATGATCCTTGAGTTGATTCCTTCGAAAGTGTTTCGGCAACTTCTCGGATCATCTGAGGCCCTGGGTAGTTTTTCGATCTCGTTTATAAGTATATCTGCCATGTTGGCAGAGCGATCGAAATGTTTCTTCAAGATATCTATCGCTGTCTGATATCTTTTTCCGATGACGGGTATGCAGCTCAAGGTGGCTGCTGCTTTCCCCTTTAGTGCTTGCTTCAGAAAGAGGAACTTGTCAGTGTCGGATAGGTCTTCGTCGGCATGGATGAGAGATTCAAACACTGTCCAGAAGCTGTTGAAATCTCTGAAGTTCCCTGAGAAGGTAGGGATTTCGAGCAGAGGCTTCCGGATTTTTATTTGCCTTTCGTTGCGCTCTGGGGGCTGCCGTTCCAGGTCTGGCCTTCGTCGCTGGCTGCATGACTTGATGTGCTTGGCAGACTGGTATGCAATAATGCAGCTTGATCCTTCAATTCGTTTTGACGGAACTGAACTTTGTTCTGCCACTGCACGACCTTGACTTCCAAATGAAGAGATTCCAACTCCAAGTGTTTGCTGAGTTCTGTCATAAGCTTGTCTCTCTCTTTTTCTTCATTTCGTGCTCCAATGTATTCGATCGCGGCGTTCACTTGTGTGTCTTGAAGTTTAACCGCATTTTGCAGAGAGTTGAGCAAATGCGTTATCTCTCCCATTTTGGTTTTGATGTACGTCTCGCATTCAGTCCTTTCTACCGGAAAAGTGAATGGTGTGTTTATTTCGTTCACTTCCGACTCGTATGACTTCACGAGTGCGCAGGCATTGTTGATTTTTGACTTAAAAATCTGAAGCGCTGCCATTTTTTGGTTTTCTGCACGGGATAGGGTCGTGCACTGGTGTAGTGATTCCAAGCGTTCCAATTCGGACGTGTGTGTCCTCCTTTTGTTGGTCGCTTTGGCTTGAGGGCGGCAGCAGGGCTGGCCTCGATACGATAGCTGTCCTTACTGGTTGCAAGGAAGCTTTCTAGTGAGCTGGCAATGGAGTGCCGAGCGTCTACTAGCTGTCAGCAAGCGCGCCTGGTTGGCTTGTGCGCTGTACTGGACGGTAAGGTGTTGGAACCTGTCCCGTGAATGTAACGATCCAAAGCTCAAGATCGGTGAACCAACCGTGAATGAGCTTGGAAAGTTGAGATTTCTTTGCTAACTGTGGATGGACCAGTCAGTCAGCTAGAAAATCTCCTTGCTAAGTTATGGATATGACCTGATAGCTTCGCAAGATGAAACTCGTTTGTGAAAGTGGATGAACCAGCAATCACAGAGTGTTTTTTGGCTAATGGAAGCCAAAAAAGTTCGAGGATTTCTGTTGCTAACTGTGGATGGACCAGTCAGTCAGCTAGAAAAACCTCTTTGCTAAGCTATGGATATGACCTGATAGCTTCGCAAGATGAAACTCGTTGTGAAAGTGGATGGACCAGCAAACACACAGTGTTTTTGGCTACGGAAGCCAAAAAAGTTCGAGGATTTCTGTTGCTAACTGTGGATGAACCAGTCAGTCAGCTAGAAAAACCTCTTTGCTAGGCTATAGGTATGACCTGATAGCTTCGCAAGATGACTCCTGTTGTGAAAGTGGATGGACCAGCGATCACAGAGTCTTTTTGGCTAATGGAAGCCAAAAAAGTTCGAGGATTTCTTTTACTAACTGTGGATGAACCAGTCAATTAGTTAGAAAACCTCTGCTAAGCTATGGATAGGACCTGATAGCTTAGCAAGACTCGTATTAGTAAAAGTGGATGAACCAGCAATTACTAGAGTCGAATATTGGCTAATTAGTAGCCTAGAGTGCGAGGAGTCTGTCGCTAACTGTGGATGAACCAGTCAGTCAGCTAGAAACCTCTACTAAGCTGTGGATAGGACCTGACAGCTTAGTAAGAATCTTGGTCGCGAAAGTGGATGAACCAGCAATCACGAGAGTCGAATAGTTGGCAATAGAGCCTGCCACGCGGGTCTTAGGCCTTGATTTCCTGGGTCCTTAGAAGGAATCGCCGAGGAAATACAAGGAAAATCACTGGCCGATGCACCAATTTGGTGGGTACCAAGTGATTTGGGGTAGACGAGGTTGTGGAATATAGATTTATTCGCACGGGCGTAGATTAGTCGTGAAGAAGAGTTGAGGTGTCCCGGTGTGGACCGGGGAGCAACCTCTAATACATTCGGAGGCTCCTTATATAGGAAGGAAGGCGGAGCTGAACCGAGTAAAAGGTACAATGTACACGAGTTGGTGCTTGAAAGGAGGTGCCGCCGATTGGCTACACTCCTGGCGCACGGGTACCACTCACTCTTGAGTGATTAGATACTCAAGAGTGAGTAGCTCACAATTTAGCCTACGGGTATTCCGTAGGCTATCTAGAATATAGAGTTCATCAATGGTTGATGATACAGAAATCATCAACAGCCCTTCTCCACAAACTGATAAATGATAGAAAATTAAAACAGATCAAAAGTATAAAATATGACATCTGTGGAACATTTGAGATACATAAAAGTTCATTAATCACTGACAAAAGTCTTGCAAAAATTCCTCATAATTGTTCTACAAGACTAGTTGAGTGAGGTATTCTCACTTTCCTGGCGTGTCATTACACATGCCCAGATAAGAAATCAGATCTACGACTAAGACGAACAAAGCATGACATGCGGCATCAATAATGCATGATATGCACAAATCAACAACTCTACACCAAGATTTGTGCACTGGTCTTTCACTAACAAAAATTTTAAAAAATGAACTATACGCTCACCTACGATATGGACAGACTTCGGATCTCTGACAGCGTACATCAGCGCTGTGGCTCCATTATTGTCAACAGCCTCTACGGAAACGCCTTTTCCTACCAGATAGTCAACGCAGTCATAACATCCTCGCCATGCCGCAAGATGTAGAGCAGTTCGCCCATGAGGATCACGCACATCGATAAGTCTTGGATTGTACTGAAAACTGAGGCGTAAAGAAATGATATGAAAGAAGATACAATCTCTAGACGACGAAGACTATTCCTGGTGAGATTTCTTTAAGTGGCAAAACCGTATCCTACTACGACAAAATCCGAGAAAAGAATTTGGACCTTGTGGAGTGAAAACAATCAAGAACATGGATTAGCTGACATAAAAAAGTGTTATAACAAGCAAACATCGTACCTCTAACAAACGAGTGACCGCTTGTAGGTGGCCGAAGTAGGCGGCAAAAAGTAAGCCGGCTCGTCCACATGGTTCGGTTTCATGCAAAGGTTTGACATCAGCCGCTGTGTTCGTTGTCCCATCTATAAACAAACGTGTGAAACTGGTTTGTGTTGCGAAAAAAAAGATTGCGAGAGCGAGTGTTAATTTTCTCGCAAAAGCAGCTTAAAATCTACATGATCTAATAGCAGGAAATCAAAATATGGACACCATGCAAAAATGGAACTTCCTGGTCATTAGATTTCTCGCTTATGATCCAGAATATATGCAAAAGCTCAATGATGAAATCCGCCAAGAAAAAACAAACAGCTACACTTATTTACAATCGTAGAATATAGTGTGACTGAGAGTGTGGATCGGAAAACAAAAAATGAGTCGCAAAAAGAATGGCGAGAAAAAACAGCTGTCAGAAACACTGATAAAGGAACAGATTTTGAACAAAATAATCAAATAATGGTTTTCCAGAAAAACAATGCCAAGCATGCTTTCAATGTAGCAACGTTACAAGTAGATACTTACATTCTAATGGCGACCTATAGGGATAAATAGGTTTTTAAATACAACATCAGCCCACTAGGGATAAGCAGAAATGCTGCCGTAAAGGACGTTACTGTTTCTGACCTATAGGAAGCAAAGCCAAGACCAACTTCAAATATAAAATGACATTTCTAAGGACATTCTCGTCACTTCGATCTATTTACCCAGTAACGATACAGACCAAAACACCGTCATCACTAGTTTAATCACACCATGCAGTACCCATGAACTTCAACAGACCAAAGACCGCCGAAAGAGATAAAATCTCTCCGATAATGATGGGGGTATGTAAACAGAAATATATCTGTTAGGTTGATGCACAATCTTGCACCAAAAAATAGAAAAAATGTTTGAAAATGATCAAACAATTTAGTTGGATAAGAGAATATGCTTTTATGTACATCAAAAGTAGTATTTTATAGCACATTATATGAAATTAATATGAAACAAAATCAGTAAGTTATTCAGAAAAATCGAAAATCGTAACTTCGCAGGGACATCCAATCACTACCAAATTCTCTCAGTCAAAAGGAATATGTCCAAAACCTAGCCAAAAGCAAATCTAAATTTTAGTAGATGTTCTGGCAGTTTTAGTGGACAAAAATCGAAAATCACTTTTGGGTTATTTTTCTTTATCAGGTTATTTCGTCACCATATGCCCACAAGAAATTTTGACTCGAGCACCTGCAAAAAGCGCAAGATTTTCTCTTTTTCTTAAAAGCTGGAAGAAGTAACAGAATTTCAAAAATTTTTGTAAGAATGATACATCAACTTGATGTATAGCAAGCAATCTCAAGAATCATCTCTTTGAGATTGTGAAATAGACGAGCAGGAAATGCCTACAGCTGAGACAGTCATAGTCACGGGGAGGTTGTGCAGGACAAGATGAGAAAGAAATTATGGGTAGAGAAGACCGACAACTCATCTTAAAGTCGAGCAGGACAAAAGTAAAATAGTCAAAATTCGCTCAATTAGGAATTTTCGCATGACTCCTGCAATTTTCCAAAAAAGATTTTTGGAAAATCATGAGCCTAACATTGATTGAAGAGACATTTTATTTAAATACGTAAGGAGCGAGAAAAGAAGGAAGGTGATAGAACTGTGTAATATATACTTACCAATATCTCCAGGTAAAGCCTCCCCAGATGCATCGAAGGGAGATGAGGTGTTACCAGCGCTTCCAAGTGCAGAATCTAGACTGGTAGGGCTGGATCTCGCTGAGGTGGGTAGCAGCACATTCAGAATATCCAGCTGAAAATATTGAGATTTAGATAGCTACTAATGGAACCGATAAAATAAACACGGATTCTGGTGCGAGTCCTAATTTGCATATTAACTGCGAAACAAAAAAGCCCGAACAAGACAATTTGTTCTTTCCAGGAATACTACCTAAGCAAAACGATTTAGTAAATTTTTTCTCAGTTGGTAATTTCAAAAGTAAGCTGGAATAACTTTTTGAAGATCAACTAAAAGTCTATCTATAGAAAAAAACTGCTTCTCAGCCATTTAGTATCAAATAAAGCGATATATATAAATAATTTCGCAATCCGAGCGAAGAACGCGGCCTGGTGGCGATAGAGATGGGCGCTGTTATTGTTATATGAAACATATACATCTGCATTTGTCAAAATGCAAGAGGGTCAATAGCTGATGCGAAAAAAAGAACGCGTCTGAAACGTACACGCAGATCATAGCGGTCGCTTGAGCAACAAAAAAGTAGATATCAAACACAAAGCGCACGGCTGCTTCATGAGGCGTTCATTTCGAGAAAAAAGAGAAAGTTCTCTTCAAAAAGATGTTCTACAGTAAAAGCAACATGCCCACCTTGTTGTATGCAGCAGCCCAGTCAATTGCTGTGAAACCTCTGTTGTCAGCAAGGGTTGGGTCTGCTCCTTTATTCAGAAGTATGACCACAGCATCACGCCATCCGATGGCAGCTGCTACATGTAGCGGTGTTACTCCGTTCACGTCTCTGTAACACTAAATGATAAGAACAAGATTACACGAAGGATTCCACAACTGTGAAGGGCTGAAGACTACTGTTTCCCAACAGATCATCAAAGCCCAGGCAAAACTGAACAACTGGGCTTGTGGAAAATCTGGGAGACCTTAACGAAACCTCTGTCTAAACGCATCTCATAAGATTCATTCGACGGGAAACGAGGAATCCTGCACTATACTCTCGCCCAGTACCGTACTTTTCCTAGTGGGAAAGTTAGTTCTCATGGATGGCACTGCAGACAATGAGTGTGAATTCTCGGCAACAAATAAATCAAATGAGGAGCCACTTGACGATCGTGTAGCTGAGGCTGGACTGGTACGCATATAAGAAGCAACGAGCTCGCATGACTGCATTTTGAACAAGGATTAGTTCTGAGTTCAAAAACTTCTTGTAGTCAAGGCATTTGAAGTGACTACAGTAGATTATGATTACATCACAAAGTTGTAGGCGGTTAGAAGTAAGTAGCAGCCAGATGTAAGTCTTATACAGATTTCAAGAAGATAACGGAAAAACAAATCACTTGGATAAGGCGACCAAACTGCAGTCGAAAGGTTCAGTAAAAAATTCTTACTTCAGGTTTGGATTACATTTGTCCAGCACTCTTCTCAAGGCGTCTTCGCACTTGGAATAAACAGCACGGTGAAGGTAACCTCTACCCATATTATCGCATCTTTCCATGTTGCTCTTTTGAATAAGAGGCCAGTATGGACCGGAAAGCGAGGTAAGGGAAAGCATGCCTGCTGACCTAGATTTAAACAATTTGAAACGTTTCACGTAAACTCTCATAGGCCTACCTACCTTCCTTTGGAGTCTCTTCTATTCACACTAATCTTGCTAAAATTCCTCAGTACCCATTCTATGCAGGTGTTCTTGCCATTTGCAGCAGCAAAGTGTAACGGAGTCATTTCTGTCGAAAGGTGCCGGTATAGGATAACTTGGTTACAGAACTTTTATCAATTTACCATCTTTGTCCCGCCACGTAAGGCATAGCTCTGCACCTGGCTGACTGAGGAGCGTTTTGGTTGGCTCGTAATTACCTAAATGCTCATTGTCACATACAATGCATATATAGGAACACGTAGCGCTAACGTTAATATATTCCCAAAGGATCTCACCATATTTCATTGCATAATGCAGAGGAATGCGTTTTTTGGCATCCATGACTGCGAACAATGGTCGATCCACAATAGCACGATTCCTAGTCAGATTATGAGTGGCTGAGGATTTCTTCTGGAAATCAGAAGGTCATAGAAAGTGCATCATTTATGAAACAATTATCTTCTTACGGTTATTTTTCCTCTCAGGAATTTCTAGACGCTTATGCCACTCGCTCTCACTTTCTAATACCGAGCGCGACAATTAGCAACATCGGAACGCACCAACCTTAACAGCTTCAGCCAAAGGAAGCAATGGTTTTGCCACATTATGCATGGCTGCCAAATGTAGCGGTGTAATTGCTCGAGAAACGCCGGATGACGGCATCTCCGCTGCATCCATCAATTTAAGCAGCTGAAAACACCCACGTAAGGACTAACTGAGCTGAAAATATTCAAAAACTAGATGGCAAACCCGGCTCCGCCCGGGACCAAACTTTGCACACATACACTTCGGGGCAGGGAGCGTGTCATAGGCTACTTTTCGTTATCGATCGATATCGAAAAGTAGCCTATGACACGCTCCCTGCCCCGAAGTATATGTGTGCCAAGTTTGGTCCCGATCGGTTCAGAAATAAAAATTTCTATTCCGCACATACGTACAGACAGACAGACATACATACAGACAGACATTCAGCTTTATATATAAGATCTACTGATTAAGCACGCCGGAAAAGTATCAGGGTCAAAACAGTCACTAAAGGGAGTTATCTTTACAGATTAAAAGTATTCTCTTCGAAAGTAATGATTTTCGCATCAATGAGTGAACATAATGTCATTCTTACAAAATAGCTATCATAAATTCCGCTCCGCTGTAACTGAGAAAAAAGTGCAGTTTTTTCTGGTAATGCGATGATCATTTAATTCATAGTGCAAGATTTACCTAATTTGTTAATGATAAATCTCAAAGAATCAACCATAAACAAAAAGCAATGAAATATCTTCGAAAAAAAAAATACAACTCACATAGGTGCAAAGTTTATCGTCGCCTTTGAAAGCTGCATAATGCAGAGGATAGAAACCATTGCAATCTTGGCTTCTGACCGCTTTCGGGCTTGCGTCACATAGCAGCTGAATAGGTATAAAATTAATCATTACAATGACGCGGAATAAGTTTTGAGGAAGTACAGAGACTCATAAAGACAGTATGATAATTCTGTCAGTCGAATTCGCATTAACAAAAAAAAAATGCTGACACATGCGTATTTCCATGAGCAAGGCAGTGCATCAAGATGCGAAATCCTAAGAAATGCTAAGGGCAGAAAGGATTTCGATTCAACAATACATCGTTTCACGCCACGAATGACGCGAAATGTCCGCAATGCGAAAGGTCAATTTTATCGCCCTCATTCTTTACGAATGTCGGCATACATTCGGAAAAAATGTGACGGCTCCGCGGCTGTCAGCAATTAGACTACCTTCATGTTAAACTAATGTCATACCCCTTGCGTGACACGAGAACGGGAAAGTACGGCCATGTGAAGAGCATTGCGACCATATCTGTCAACTTTGTCCACTTCAGCTCCTCCTTTCAGAAGAAAGCCCACCTAAAAGCGAATTTCATTCGATTCAAGGTATTTCCACAAAAATTTTCTCACCGTCTTTTCCAAGCCTCTCGATGCAGCCCAGTGCAAAGGCGTTACGCCACTATCATCTGTCGCATTTACATCAGCTTTGCTTTTTACGAGGTATTCCACAGTGAAAGCTCTGAAACGAGACTCTTAACGAAATTTGCACATGTTTTCCTATGTCAATTTTGCTGCGGTGAGTGCCTGGCACCAGAAAGCACAGCGACAGCCATAACCATTAAAAACAACGCGCCCTGTTTTCGATTGATTCACACCTTTCTCAACGACAATCAAAGGGCTATACCTTTCCACGATAACTAAAGACTCTGTTAAGATCAAGGAATATCCAGCAGCCCGTACTATAGTCATAATCTGATTATGTCCTAGCTAGGTTCTATAGTTAAAACCGAATATTTTTCGAATATTCGTATTTTAATGATTTATTCGAACTAGAAAGATCGAATATTCAGTAAAGTGCATTTATATGATTATATGAGTAGTCGAATATATGAAAAAGAAAAATATTCGGTCCCAACTATACTAGGTTCAAGAAATATTTGAAGAAAAAACATTGAAAGTAGGTATAACTAAATTACATCTCAGACTGACATACTCGTTGGTGAAAAGCGCTTCTTTGTTAATTATCCTGGAACTCCCACCAAATCCAGAAGATACTTTTAGGGTGGTACATGGGAGAAATACTTCCATTATAAGAAAACTTACCCATTACTCGCGATGCTACCCGAAGCTAACAGGAGCGGAGTTCTGGAAGATGCATCCTTTGCTTCTTTGTCCGCTCCCATTTCTACCAATGTTTGCACCACTGTTCGACATGAATTATAGGCAGCCAAGTGAAGCGGAGTAAAATCCCCTTTCATCCTGCTGAAAAGAACATTTCTTATAGAATCTCGTTTGGGCATCCTATGCGAGAACAACAGAGTGAGACATTTGAAAGCAATCCCTAGAGCAAATCAGGCATAAGGTAAAAGATGGTATCACTTCTAAAGCATGCTGTAGTGTCTTACTACCCTCAGTGGAAATCTTGAACAGCTAATCCTGTTCACCTTTAGAAAACATTTGCAAACGCAAACCCACGTCACTAAAAAAGCAAAAGCTATGTAAACAACAGGAGCTGAATGAAACGCGAGAATGGACAATTCCGGAAAGAAAACAGCAGCAATATCAAAGCTACACAAATTTAGAAACCCACGCGTTCACGTCAGCACCGGCTTTGAGCAGGTGCTTAACCACCAGCTGATGTCCACCAATGGAAGCACAGTGTAAGGGAGTAGCATCATCGTTTGACCTTGCATCAATCTCCGCTCCAGCTGCAATTTGTAATCGTAAATAAGCAGTCGAAAACCTGATTAGTTAGTTCAGGTTAAAAAAGGATCACACCGGTGTGAAGCTGTCGGAATGATAAGCAAACAGGTCATACTTTTTAATTACATTGTAATATTTTTAGCACATTATTAACTTTGACTGATGAGAGCTAAAGCGAAAATTCTTATTCACTACAGTGATCTGAATCACCTTCAAAATGGTCAACAAAGAAAAATCAGACGCGCAAGTATCTTTATGAAATGTGAAAAAAGCATTTTTTCACGACAGATATGTAGTGGAAGTTCAAGAGCCAGACTCTACACGGATCATTCCGTCATCCTTAGCCAAAGCCCTATAGCAACTTGTGAAATGTGGACTTTGCACATCTCAGAGTCTCACTGAGTGTTAGGTCAAAATGAGAGTAATCAAAACCCAACCAAAACAGAACTCTCAAACTAATTGAAACCCTAGCGCTTAACCAAAACTGTAGATAAAACTGTACCTTAGGATTAGGAAGATTGCAATGCTAATGCTTTTAAATCTCACGTGGTTCTAGACTCCAATGGACACGAAAATGATAAAGGTTGAGCAAAAGTGATAAGCGGGATCGCCAAGGCAAAATAAATATCAGAAGAGAAAGCGACACAATTGCGTTACATTTCAAGAGGATAACTTGTAAAGCGGCACTACTCAAAAACCTAAGTGTAAAGACATAGATACGATACTGGCGTGATTAAAATCAGAATTTTCGAGCGCTCGACAGAGCCAGCACCCAAGTCGGAGCAAAACATTACAACAGTACAAGAAACAATCGACAAGGAGGTCTTTTGAACACAAAACAACGAAGGCTTATTGAAATACTAGTAGTGATCCAGTAATGAGAGCTGCTCCCGAAGGAAAAATTGAAGAAACAGTCATTCCGATTACATAATCCCAAATTCAACGAATCAAAAAAGCCCTGCATATAGAAACTGCATTCGATAGATAGCGGTCAAACAGATGATAACATCAATTAACAGAATGCATTCAAAAGCCCAAAATTGAACTTCATGCATTCAGAGAAAAAACCTTGAAACAGAAGCTTGAGATGATAGCAACATGACAAGTTAACTAGCTCATCTCCACAAAGAAATTCCGCACAAATTTTGTGCTTCAGCTGGCTGACTGCTTCTTTCTACAAAGTCACACGAGAGAGAATCTGGTAATTGAGTTCTTGAATAGGGCAGCCCAAATTCATGGAGAGACGCTTAGTCGCAAAAGCAAAATCAATGAAGTTCCCTGATAAAACTATTCAAATAAGAAGGGCTCAGCAGTAATCCGAAGAAGGAAATAACGAGCTGTCAAAGGCTTTGTAAACAACAGTTCATCGCCAATCTGTAAAAACCGCAACGCTTTTGCAAGTCGAAAAGCTTGTAAATTGCCAACGGTGAGAATCGGCAGAGCGCCACCAAAATATACAATACAGTTTGAAAAGTTGTGTAATCGCCATCAAAATCCATGCCAAAAATAAAGATTTTGTGTCGGCGTATAGAGAACCAAGCTTTGCAAGTGCAGCAGTCATGAAAAGAAGTAAAGCAAAGAAAATGATGTACCCAAAAATCACAATGCTTTTTAGAAAGGCAAGGAAACCAAAGTAATGAAATAATGAGCAACACCCACCTTGTATCAGTGCATCCACACGTGACACCTTCGACCACTCGCTGGCAAGATGCAAAGGTGTCATTCCATCATTGTTCTTTGCGTTCAAGTCTATACCTTTGCACTGTAAAGATCAGAGTAGGAAACGCATGATTTTGTCATTGCAAACAAAAAGAAAGGGTCGTCCTAAATACCAAATGTATCAAGTCCAACCTTGACCAGATACTCAATTGGAATAGCGGATTCCGCTAATGTAGCTGCCACGTGCAGTGCTGTACTACCATCATGAGCTGCCACAGATATATCGCTGCCCTTTTCCAGCAATCTGACGCAAAGAGTAATGCTAGGAGTAGCTTGAAACCCTTTGAATACTTACAGCTCAATTATTCTTGTATTTTGTCCATTTTGAACAGCGTAATGCAGCGGTGTATAACCATCTTTGTCGGTTGCATTGACATCTTTGTCGTCAATCTCCAGTATTGCTCCTAGGCAAGTTATACTCATTCAGAGTCATAAAAAGACAGAGAGAGTAGACAACAGGGAAACTCACTGAGCAGCTCAGTTTGGGAAGCCATAGCTGCGTAGTGCGTTATGGTTCTCCCACGTGAGTCGGACACTTTGAAATTAGCGCCTGCTTCTCTCAAAACTTTCAACATTTCCAAACTTCCGCCGCACGCCATTGAATGTACTGCCGTACGTCCAAGCTTATCGCTTAAACAAGACTTTTTGCATAAAAAGTATAGGATAATCATGACGTCTAATATGGCCTCTGTGACGATATATGTCTACCTTGAAAGACAAAAAGCTAAGGATTGAAAGACCTACACTGCTGCCATGTTTATTCCAGCTTTCAGAAGATGCTCGGCCACGTCCACATTTCCATGGTAAGCAGCATGATGCAACGCAGTACAGCCACGAGTATCGGCAGCATCTAAAAATATTAAATGGAAAACTGTCAAAGAAAAAAGAGAAATGCTTACGCAGCGCACGATAGTGCTTTTGAACCAACAGTTCCGCAACACTGGGCACATTGTGGATAGCACAGATGTGGAGAGGAGTTTGTAAAGCTTTACACTGAATGTCCGTCCTGCATCCTGAGCGATAAAGAACTCATTTAAAAGTTGCTTCAACAGCAGAAATTAGAGATAAGTGAATATTCTCAATCGTGCCAATCAGCTTCAATATCAAATAAGTGTTGACTGAAGAAAAGAAATAAAACTGGTGAGTAATTTTGGAACTTCAAAAAAAAAAGAAGACAAACCTAACCTTTACTAATAAGCATCTTGGCAACATCATAATGTAAAGCAGCGATAGCTCTATGCAGGGGTGTCAATCCGAAGTTATCTTGAGCATCCATGTCCGCACCAGTCTCTGAATAATTACATCATGTGCGAAAAAAACACGGAAACAGGCGGCGACCAACCTAACAACATAAGCGATAATTTTACATCTCCAGTAAAAGCGGCATAATGCAGAGGTGTGCTACCTATCGAGTCGGTATAATTAACATCGATACCATCATATATCATCGACTTCACCATTGCCTCGTTCTTCATTAGTATAGCTACAGCTAGATCATTCTAAACAACAAGTTTTTCTCTAGCTGAACAGCTGAGCGACTGAGAATGACCACCTGATGGTAGTTCAGGTTGTAAAGATGATGAAAGTAAACAGATCACAAATGCGTTAGTTCAAGCAGTGAAGCGCGGGAAAAGCAGCTTAGTGATGGGATTGAGGCTTATACTGTGACGGAAGAGATGAGATAGCGAATCTAATCGCAGTGAAAGCCAAAGCAACCAGAAAACTGCTAGTTTTGAGAAATTGTCCTAAGGACCACAAGGCACAGCATGCGCGAACACACCATTGATGAAATCGAAACAGCGCTCTAGCTTTCGATATGAATCTAGATTCAAATTAATGGATGGGTTAGTCCGTGTATTAGTTCAGAGCGTGAGAAATAATAGATTTTCAATTGCAGAAAAAAACTAGTGAATTGTCATCGCCTTACAAGATTAGAGTTTTGTTAAGCAGATAACAGCCAGAGCCGCATAATGTGAACGCATCAAAACATAAAAAGCAAAGAAGAATTCTAACTAATAACATGACCACTCACCTCCACACTCGATACCGTCATTTTGGAGCCGGTAAGCTTCGGGTGAATGAGCGACTGCAACAATCCTCCTTCCGATTCTGTATTTACGCCGCGATCTATAAAATGTACAAGACTGTAAAAAGCTGAGAACAATATGCTAACGGTACATGCATGCCTATTCTTGGCTTGCTTACAAAACTGGTTATTCAGGCTTAAATCCGCTTCTTACAAAAAAAAATGCCGGGAATGAAAAAAAAAAGCAGCCGCAAAGCCCTTTCATCAATTGGTAACAAATGTGAAATTGACATAGTGGAAGGATATTGGAAAATTAGGAATATTGGCAATGCCAACATGACATGGTTTTTGCAGACAATTCAATTTGCAATTGAAAAGAACGTTATTTCACTTCATTCAAGACAGAGTATATTTGTTTTGAACGCAATAATGAATAACGCACAGACTGAGAGATCTTCCCACTTCAACATCTGCTTAGAAAGCGCACAGTCGAAGCCTTGGCCAAAGGCTGACTCGCAGACTTTTTGCTAAGGTCACACGTCACCAGCTTCGCTGCACACGTGGAATTCACGATATAAGCAAGGGAGCTCCATTAGAGCAAGACTTTATGGAATATTTGATGTGTACACTTGCCAGAAAATAAAATCATCAGAAATGAAGTCATCGGACTACCTAATAGCAAATTAAGCCAGTTCGACCGCCACCATTTTTCGCCGAAATTTAAATTTTTGTCAAACTACAGCTAGTTCCTTTCCGTCTCAAAACGGAAAAAAATTTAGCAAGTCATAACATTTGGCGAAAATATTTGCTTGATGTTTAATGAAAAAGTTTCCAAGAATCTTTAAAGTTGCTCTCTTCGTAGCTTAAAGTTCTATCCTTGCTGACTTGATTTTTAACTATTACTATCGTAACACTTACGGAAATGACCAACGAATGACAGCAATTGCTGCAGAAAAATGGGCATAATTCACGAAGCAGACAATGTGGGAAAGAGATAGAAGTGTGCGGTCTTGTCTTGTTTGTGAAAGAAACATAAAAACAGCGGCAGCGAGTCGAAAGGACCACAATGACTCGCTGGAAGTGGATATTGCAACGTTGCATTAGTAGCACGTAGTTGCTGGACGAGTAAAAATGGATGCTGAACTCTTTAGTTTGGAGTAAAAATCTGCAACAGTATATCGCAGTAGTTATTTTAGTTTTAGAAAGAAAAAGTCAAAGGCCTGCGGCAGTGTTTAGACTCGAAACGCCATGAAGTGATTTGATGTGAAGTTTTGAGTGTGGAAACAGCTGACGATGGGGTCAGTCTGGTGGACGGGACCGAACAGTGCTAATGCACTTTTCAAATGTTTTCGGTAGGTTTAATTGGAGACGCAACCAAAAATTGAACAGATTCAGACAAACATGGGTGCGCTAATACATATAGTAGGAAAACAATTATGAAACTAATCAACCCATAATGAAGATAGATTCTGCACAAAGTCACGTAGCTACCAAATCGAGAGTTTCAAAAGCATGTCACAGACTGTCGCAGAGTTTATGCTGATAGGCAACCTGGTTTTGGTTCGTCCGGTTCACCCATTTGCTATTGGTCAAATCACTGAAGTGACCAATAGCGAATGGGGTGAACCGGACGAATCCCAACCGGATAAGTCTGGCACTGCCTGAGAGATTAAAGCAAAGAGGTGTTATAGGGACGAAAAAGAACTACGACTATGATTAGCTAGGGTTAGAAGCAGAGGCAAAATGGACCGCTTGCAGATTTTTAGGCTTTTAGGTAGTAAAATATCCAAGAACGCATAAAATCTACTCGCCAACTCATAGACTAAATTCTGGAAAACGGGCTTTGAAATCCCGCCACTGACGCCCACTCAACGGAAATGGGGATGGGGAGGGGGGGGGTTTGATGCGCGCAATTTCAGGCGCACGAATTGGGTTGTGGAGATGGGACCACAGTATACCTTTGGAGGGGGGGGGGATGGTTGAACCTGCTAACATCACCAAAATTTGACAAGCATCCATTCTGCCAAGTCTTCCTTCGAGTGAGATGATATCAAGGTCTGGAAAAAATGTTCGAAATCCTGATCTTGAGATTGTGCAACCTAGAATGAAACCTACATCGATTTAGAGTTTTCTTTTGCACAGTCATATGTACATTTGGAAACGAGAAATTATGACGAAAGAGACGGTTGGAAATATAGAAGTTCACTCCCTTCTCCCATGTCATTCCCTACCTTATAAGCGCAAAAATTACAATCGCGATTTTCCATATTTTCTTCTGGCGATAGCGAGATCTGGACACACAAAGATCTGGGCAACTGCTTGCGCCAGGCGTTGGCAAAATAACCTTTATTTTCACTGTTTCATTTCAACAACTGTTGTCCCTACCAAAATGGTATTTTTGGATACGTAAGTTGAATTGATGCTACCCAACAATAAAAACTGACGCATAGGCATCTGATCGTTGACCACTAAAAATGATCACGTGCTACCACGTGACACATTCCTTTCTATTTTTTTTCTCATAAGCTTATAGATTTTGTGTTCTCAAGCCTTGAAAAGAAAATATTTTGTACCCGGATCTAGTCGAATGACGTAAGAGTGGTCTAATTATAGATGAGCATTACAAAGATGAAAAACAGATTACGATCGTAAATAGTCAACAACGCACCGACAGTAGCGGGTCGGCGGGGAACTCGTACAACCACTGACCGCGAACGCGAGAACTCCATCACTGAGCAGAGAATTCATCTGTAAAATACTAGAATTTCATTACGTCATCGCGACCTGTAATTACAAGACTTGAACATTCTATACCCGTCGAGACACGTAACAAACCTGTCCAAACTGGTTATCTCACAAGTTTTTCGACGCAAAGTCACACATTTACTTCTGACGAATTTTGAGTTCTCCTAATTTGAAGTTTACAATATGTTGTCTTTTACAAATCACTATAGGTGGCGACAAACTACTGCTCTCAACTTCTCCAAAAATTGAAACGTTCTGTGATTTTTAAGCAACGATATTATGTCGAATCTGTTGCTAAAACGAAAGCGTTTATTTTGTGGTCTGCAATGACGCACAAATATCGCGCGCTTTCGAATTTTGAATTGCAAAAGCTGTTGTGCAAACAAGCACACTTTGTTCTTCTTAAATTCTTCTGTAAATTTCCTCATCAAAATACTGAACTATGCATTCTAGGCTGTAAATTACTCTGTTATAGGTTTTTTTTTCATTGAACATGTGAGGGACGTAGGGTTGCCATGTTCTCTGCTTAAAACACAATTTTTCGTGAACAAGGTAGTCCAAAACCAAGTACTTCACTATTTTGTCAGAAAGATTAGAGATCACTGAACAGAATCTGGTTTGGAGTGCTTTCGACATTACTAAATCTCTTACAATCTGCAGCCTTATCAACTCACTTGATCTAATCACTGTGCGTATTTTCTGATGAAAGCCATCTGATATTTTTAGCTCATATACGCTTTTATAGATGTCAGTAGCGGGATTTAGGTCTCTCGTCGACTAAATAAGCCTCAGGCTGACTGCTTTACCAATTCTACAGATTGATTATCGCTTCGACATTCTGACGATCTTGTACTTTGACATCTACATCCCTTTCTTTCTCCCGTTTTCCACGTTTATTTTATGATAACTTACCAGATTAGCTGCTGATAGGTTTATCACACTTTTTACCGGCGCAATCTGTCTCCATCTGTTCACCATTTCTACTCATTAGTTCATTTTTGTAGTTCACAGTGTCGCAAATAACCGTGTGTTTGACTATGAATCTTTTTTTTGCAACTATTATCAAATTTCGTCTTGAAAGTCACCATCCTGTCTTCAGTACCGCTACGCTTAAATAAACTCATCTCTTCTTTGAAACTTCAAAGGTTCTGTTTGTTCAAAATAAAGTGTATTGTCACTGCGAAAGTGGATTACGCTACAAATTTTGCAAGTTGCGATGACTACCTCTGTCTATAAAAAGATTTTCGAAATTGCTGTGGCGAAACTAGCAGTGCTGACATCACAGTGAATGTCTGCGTCCATCTCACTATGTTTGCATGTCACTATTCTTAGGCATGCGCCATACTTGATCTGCCTAGTCCACTCAATCCACTTGATCCGCATCGTCATTGGTCACTTCAGTGAACTGACCAATAGCGAAGCGGTTGTCCACTTGATCCTCTTGATCCACTTCATCCACTTCACTATTGGTCACTTCGCTGGATTGACCAATGACGAAGCGAATCAGGTGGATTAAGCGGATCAAGTATAGCGCATGCTTCAGCTTGCTGATCTTCATTAGGCTCTCACAACTCAGACATATTTTTTTCTCTTGCAGGTATGAGTACCTCATTTATTGAAGCAATGGGAGGCGACTCCATGGAGAGCGCTGCTCAACGGGTTGCCAACCACATAGAGAACACTATAGACACTGCCGATATCTACAATAAATTGACTCAAAATGGTATATTATCAGTTTTCCGTCTCTAAAGAATTCATATGCGCATTTTTAGGCACTTGTCCTGTTTCTGGGCTTGGTGATAGGTTTTATACTAAGGGTGGTCTCGAATTTGTTCTGAGACGACGATTGCCGATGCCAGAAGAGCTTGCATATCAAATCAGAAGTAAGTAGCATTTAATAACCATTTTCTGTAGTCTGATTTTGCCACTTTTCTAGACATGCGATCTCAATTTAGCATGGGATTGTTTCCGGAAATCTCACGAGCTTGGATTGTTATAGATAGTGATATTTTTATGTGGAATTATGACACGAAGTAAGTGAAGGCGGTGTAATCACTAAGCAATATCGTGCGTTTTTGTTCAGTGATGATCTTGCTTATTTTGATGCCGTGGAAAGCACTGTCCTGAAAATTGCTCTAGCACGGGTAAAATCTGATGTTTTCGCGGTCAGTTTTCTTAAAAATCTTCTTTTTACTCACTTTGGATTTATGGTCATTTCTTTTTATAGTCCCATATAACTCACGGTTTGGTCGTGGGTACCGTCACAGATCTCTCGTTATACCCTGTTATTATGGATTTTGATCCTGTCACTGGAAGACCTGGTATAGCTATCGATGCCAGTCACTTTTTCAAGGTACGCTTTACAGCTTATATTCATCAAGTGATCATACGAATTTGAAATAGATTGCTCTGGATAATTGTTCCTTGAATGACATTGTGTCCACCAACAATGGGAGGATATTCTTCACTGCTGACGATAGACTCTATGAATTCGTCTACGAGGTGAGGAATTAACTTTACTTCTATATTTTTTCTTTGATAAATTTCCAAAATTTTGTTTGCTATCGAAATTCTCTCCAGCACAATACTGGTTGGTTTGGCGGTGGCCGTAAGTGTCGTGTGGTCAATCAGTCAGTCACACTATTGAGCACCTTGATCCCATTCCTAGGACCTGGGAGTGGTAAGTTGTTCTATCATTTTTGACATGTTCCCTAATGGATAATCTCTATTGGAAGCTATAAGTGCAAATTGCTAAGTCTCCGTTTTTTTGTGCTAGCACTTGTACCACATTCATGATTTTTTCTGATACTGAAACTGCATTTTTTCAACTTCAGAAGAATTGGAACAAATAGCTGTTGACAAGTCACGAAATATACTTTACTGTCTGGGAAAGAACGGCTCGATACAGGTGAAGTGCTGTTGTTGTTGTATCTGATCAAAGTCGTTGATGAATATCACGTAAATACATCTAGTTTAGGTATTTGATCTTGGTGCGGATGGCAATCAGTGCTCTAGGGTCTGCGTAGTGAGTGCTGGACAAATTGCTGTAAGTTATGTTTTATCAAGCTTGATTTCCACGCTGCTGAATCTATATTCTAGAGCGAGGCCCATTTGATGACACAATATGGGCATGAAGAGAGTACGTTTACGAATATTGCTACAATATGTGCGCTCGAAGCAGAACAATCGAATCAACTCAATCTGGTTGCAATCACTACCAAAGGAGTCCGGATATACTTCTCAGTATTAGCACGAACCGTTGCTGCGCCTAACCAACAGGGGCAGTATCTGTCGCAGATCACTTATAAGGTACACAATATCCTCCATTTTGAGTTCAATTTCTAATGAAACTTTTCAGAGCCTTTCCCAGCAGGAGGTTCGGCCGCAGTGCCTCCGAGTAGCACATGTTAGGTTCTCCCCGGGAGTTGCTCCTACCTCTATATACCGAGATACTCCTCAAGGAGTTTCTATAGCCTACGCTGATCAAAGTTAGTTTGATTGCTTTCAGTTTTTTCACTTTTATTGAAAGCGTCTTCCTGCTTAGCTAATGTTATATATAGCTTTCCGTTTTATTTCCAAAACATTTCTCATTTTTTTTTATCCTTGCATTCTTCCGTCACTCGGGGTCTGCCGCTCTCGTCAATCTTTTCCATTCTTCTCGGTTTAAGGCCTGCTCTTCTCTTATACCAAGCTCTCTCATATCTGCTTTGACTTTATCCAGCCATCTCATCTTAGGTCTTCCTCTTGGTCTCTTCCCTGGCACTTCCACTGACATGGCCAATCTCGTAATGTGGCTTTCTTCTCTTCGGCTCACATGTCCATACCACTGTAGACGTCTTTCTTGCATCTTCTTTACAATGGGTGTCACTTTCATTACGCTTCGTATAGTGTCATTCGGGACATGGTCTAGCATCGTCACTCCTGTGGTCCATCTCAGCATTCGTGTTTCCATTACGCTGATCATTCTTTCTTCGTCACGTGTACATGACCAGCATTCGCATCCGTATAGGGCCGTCGGTCGAACTGTCGTGCGATATATCAGGGACTTCAGCTTTCTTGGCATCCGCTTATCACATAGGACTCCTGTGAGACTTCTCCACTTCATCCATGCTGCGTTCACTCTACTGCTTATCTCATCGCGGAGGTTGCCATCTGCGGAGATACGGCTTCCCAGGTACTTGAAGGAGGTGGTCTTCTTGAGTTGCGTGTCTCCGATCTGGATTGTCCCGGGTGTCTGCGTTCCCAGTTCCATATACTCCGTTTTCGTCATGTTCAGCTTCAGTCCATGCATCTCAAGCTGATCCTTCCACTTCTGCACTTCCATCTGGAGCTCTCTTCTGCTTCTTGCCAGTAGGAGAACATCGTCTGCGTACATGAGCGTCTACGGTGGTTGTCGTATGAAGCCGTCGACCACTGCATCTATGACTGTGTTGAACAGGAGCGGTGAGAGTACAGAGCCTTGATGTACGCCGGCTCGTATCTGGAATTCTTTCGTCGGTCCCGCTGCTGTCTGTACGTGGCTGGTGGCATTCTTGTAGATCATCTTCGTCCATTGCACGTACTCTTCTGGCACCTTGTGCTTCCGTAGTGCCCACCATATGATGTTGTGTGGTACCTTGTCAAACGCCTTCTCCAGGTCAAGGAACGCCGCATGTAATTCACATTGCTTCTCCCTGCTTCTTTCTATCATTATTCTGGCGGTATGGATGGCATCTGTTGTGCTACAGCCCTTCACGAATCCACACTGATTGGGAGCTAGTTCTATGATGCTTCGGAGTCTCGTTTCTAGTATTCGTTCGAAGATCTTCAGCGTGTGACTCGTTAGACGTATGGGACGATATGTGGAACAATCGGCTATGTCTCCTTTCTTCTTCCATACTGGAATCGTTGTGCTTTTGGACCAATCGCGCGGCATCTTCTTGGATTCGATTATCCGATTGAGAAGCTGTGTTAGCCAAGTGATTCCAGCTTGTCCGCACCTCTTCCAGAATTCACTGGGGATGTCGTCTGGGCCGGTTGCTTTGCCGTTCTTCGTCTTCGCTATGGCTGCGCGAACTTCATCTTCTGTGAAGTTTTCTACCGGTCCTTGTACCGTCTCAGCTACTATGGTAGATGACATTTGGTAGCTTGTAGATGCTGTTCTCTCGAAGTGTGCTCTCCATCGTTCGCTTATCTTCTCTGGACTTCTTAGAATTCTTCCGTACTCGTCTTTGATGTTGTAGAAGTGGCTTGTATCTTCTGTGGCTTTTGCTTTTCTCCTTGTGGTTCGGTAGATATCACGTTCGCCTTCTCGAGTGTACAGCTTCTTGTAGAAGTCTGCTATGTACGCTTCCTTCGCTTCTCTTACGCTCCAAATTACACTTCTCATATTCTAGGCATATGTGTTATGGCTACAGCGAATCGTCAGCTAGTTTGGGCCTTGTCAGATTTATATCATCCTCATTCCAAGGTTTATTGTGAGTCGATGGTGAGCTTCCTTGACATGTGTCACTCTTAACCTCTCCATTTCCCCCTACTCTCATTTTTCAAGAACGATCTGCAAGTGTCTGGTAATGTGTGGGCCATCACTCCCGTCTCGGAAAAGGTGATTATCATTTTGTTGTTTCCTAGGATTTGTGACCTCGTATATTTAGGCACTACAAGAACAACCTTCAGAGCCTGGCATGATAGCAAGAGTATTGCCACATCCATTTTTTCGACAGTCAGTTGAAAGCAAGAAACGCTTGATCATCTGCTCCAACGAGGTACATGAGAATCCCAAAGAAATTAGGCATAGTTTGTTTCTTATTCGTAAATCCTTTCAGGGAATTCATGAGTTTGACTATGTCACACCGCGTGATGCCCTGCGTGAAGCTCTGTTTGATGGCGGGCCTGAAGGAAGGGCTGCTGTGCAGTTGTTGCAGCAGTTTGGTGCAACGGAAGTGCTCGTACTAGCTCTTTCCGTTCTGACCAGCGATGCAGCAGTGGATGAGAGGATAAAGGATAAAGTGAGTTCCGCTGTGGTTATATTTCATGCCTTTTCGAAAATTCTGTCAATCTAGGCTGCTCAGCTATTCTACAGTTTCAAAGATGGACCGGAGCTTGTGGATGCTGAGCAAGTTCGAGGTTTTGAATCAACTTGGTCACCAGGAGACAGTATAGCTGATTGGAAATACAAAATGCGCTGTGAGTGTCATCCTGGTTTCCCATTTATACTCAAGTTTGCATTTACATGGTTCATAACTGGTTTTTTATAATTGTATCATGAGTTCGAAGACGTCTTTTTTCATGACTATATAAATTTAGCACCCCTTCACGCTTCCACTCCTCGATTTGAGAACCAGCCAAGTAGCGCTGTATCGTCTCCTTTCTCACCAACTAGTAAGTTATGAAGTTTCTGTGTTACTTTTCATCACTCCCAAACCTGAAAATTTTTATATGGTTTGAATGCCAAAGAGAGAAGTGCCACTGATTTTAGTGAGCAGGCCATTAGCTGGTGGAGGTCAAGGATATCAGCACTCGCCCAGTCGCCGTCATGATGCGCTTTATTACTATTTTTCACGTCTAGTTGCTCCAATATGGAATCATGCTATATGCCGGATCAGAGATGGAGCGGTGAGTCAGAAACAAGTTGATGTATGATTTTTCCTTGCAAGGATTTGAAATTTTTTTAGTTGGTCACATCTTTAACTACTTCTGAAATGGATTGGTTATCAAAGGAATTGCGAAAACTAGGTCGAGTCATGGAGGAATATGGATTGTTGCCCAAACCCGATGTGACATGGAATAACACTGCCGTAGGAAAACTCAACGGTGAGTCATAAAGGGTTCGGCAAATATGCAAACGATACATTTTTTTAGTGCAAGCTTCCAACTTGGAGCGACAGTCGTTGATCGCATTGCGTAAACTGATTGAATCATCTGCTGTAAGTCAAACATCTCACAAATGTAACTGCCACAGAAAAAAAGAGTTTTGATACATGTTATATCACAAAAATATTTTTTCTTATTGCGATCCAGTTTCTCATGTTCACATCTGCCATATTTGTTTAATTCGCCAGTAAATAGATTACCATGGATGAATAATTTTCTTTGTTGAAACCTCAAGATGTCTTTTATAGGAAGTCCTTTCTCTCTGGTCAACGGCGAACTCATTTGATCTCACTGCAATCTCTGCCAGCATGGATCCCTCTGTTCTACCTAACTTGGCCGGTCGACCTTTTTGCCACTTGGCTTGCGATGGCCAACATCTCAGTGGAGATCTCATTAGGGCCATGATCAAGTGGGTAAACAGCCATTTTTATTTGTTCATTTGTTGATCACTTATGTCATATGTTCTAGGTATTTCCTGGGAGATGAAGCAGGTACCAAAGATCTTTCGGAGAAGTTGAGAGCGCTCTGCCCTAATTTGTATTCGAAGGTAACTAGAGTATCGAATAATCTCCCAAAAGCTTATTCAAAATGTATAATCAGGATGATGCTTGCGTTACCAATGCTATGGAGCAGTTAAAAATGGCATCTTCATCCACGTCAGGAGCATCACGTCAAAGCCTCATAGACAGAGCCTGTGAACTTTTCAGCCAGTCTATCGGAAAGGTTTCACTTCCAGTAGTCTGCCGTTCACTTGCTGATTGTAAGCTGAAGATTTATGTTTTTTTTTTCAAACAAATCTTTTTCGCTCTAGTGGGAGCTTTTGAACAATTGGCAAATCTTTGTCTGCTGAAAGCTAAACGGGACGATCCCAAACAACTTGCTCTGATGGCGTACAGGCATGGGAGAGCTGGTGAAGATCGAGAAGTGCAAGCTGCAGAGAAACGAAGGGCAGAGAGCTACAAGTAGGGCGTTATCGTTCGTCAAATATCTTGATGAACTTTTTGTTTGTAGGTGTATGACCGATGTATTAGATGACTTGGAGGCATCTTCATCAAGATCATCTCCGACTTCTACGGACAGTGTGAGTGTTTTTTTTCATAATTTTTTGCTGCGTTCATCGTCTTGTTTAACCGAATAACCGAACAAACTTTATTCGCTAGTCGCACACATACACTTCAGGAATCTTTAAAATCTTGCGGATCGAGAATCCGTGTTATTACACTTTCTTTTCATCACTTGAAGGTGGCTTCTCAAATACGGCTGCAATTCGCTTTACACCTTAATTATCTCTCTTCAAAGAGACTACGAGATCTACAACGTATTCCAACCATCGGGTTTCACGCTCTTTGTCCAAATTTCCTTCACTGTTTTTCCTTCTGAGCACTTCACGTGGTATATCGCGAAGTAGTGTCGGTGGCCTTCGGGTATTTCTTTATTCTGAATGTGATACATATTTGCTATTGAACTATCGAGACTAATTTTACCTGAAACCACATGCGGATAGTGCCTGTTTCGCCAGCTTTTATGAACCCCAGTGGTGGTTGTACTCGAAATATGTCAGCTGACGTGCATTTCACCTGTAAAACCATCATCTTTGCCTGAATAAGCTGCTTCGCTAATTTTTAACCGTCTACCTTATAACTCTGCTTGTCTTTTGTAGGATTTGTGACTCGTATATCGGTCCATACAGGTTTCTTTTCTGGTGTGCATGAGAAAACCACTTGTGTAGGTGACAAAGTCATTTTGAATTCTGGCTCGCCGGGTCTGCGAAAAATACAGTAAGCTATGATTTTGCACTGCACCCTAGAACCTGTTGAGTAAGTAGGCTTCATCCTTTGGTGCATCCGGCTTATCCTTATCTTTATCCTTATCTTTGTCCTTATCCTTGTCCGCGTCTTTCTTCTTCTCTTTTGACATCTGCAACCGTTTGTTCGTATAAGCAACTGCCACTGGTGGTTGGAAGCCTTTGGAGCAGACCTTGCTTCTTGAAGCCGCTCAGGGAAGTGAGAACTGCGAAGTGAGATTGAACCCACTTGGAAAGCCTTTTATACTTGAAATCATCATATCACTGTTGATTGATGGTATCGTTATATTTTCGTGATAAAGGTATGTCTCCTTTTTCATTTCTACCTCTATGCTTTGCACCCCCACAATCTGATTTATGACGAGAATACTTGATCGTTTTTCCACTGTTTTCCTCTTTGTAGACAGGAATAGGATGGATTTTTGTTAGCTGAATCTGTAGATTAATTTCCGTTGTTTTGAATCTAATTATCGATAAATTTAGGCTGTGAACTCTGATCTGATAATCTCGTGCATAACATCCAGCGATGATGAACTAGCACATGCTGCATTATTTCGGTGGATGCTGGAGAGAGGCAAAGCGAACCATATCTTGCAAGTAAGTGCCCAGCTATCTTCTTCTAGAATGTCTAAAGCTGGAAAGCTAGCTGTAAAATTCTGTTGTTGTTTGTCTTTGCATAATCATCGCAACCCTCTGAATTAGAATTCAATGTCAGTGGGACAACTTGTTTATGATAGCAATCTTTACGGAAGCGTGTGTCCCACAGAAGCATTTCAGAGCAAATCTCCATATGTCGAGCAGTTTCTTACCCATGAGATCAGTTGCGGACGAGGCCAGAGATATCTGGATCTACTTTGGCGGTTTTATGAAAAAGCTGGTCACTATGACAAGGCTGCTATTTTGCTGAGTCGGCTTGCTGACAATGAAAAGTGAGTCGTTCAACATTTTTCTTTCTTTTCTTTTGTATGAGTCTTTATCTTTTTTAGCGAAGAAATCTCACTTTCCCAGCGGTTCGCATACCTATCCCATGCGATCATCTGCGCTCAAGCTGGAAGTGATCCAAAGACGAAAGCCATGATCCAGGAATTACGCGATAAAGTTGAAGTAGCACATATACAGATGGCTATAAAGTTTGTAGTTTTCGTTTTTATTGTTTTTGTGATTTTGGCTTGGATATATTCTCATGCTTCAGGGAATGTATGGATATCCGAACACCCAAGCAGCAAGAACTTGTGAGACTGCTTGATGGGCCGATTCTCTCTTTGCAATTGTTGTTGGAGAAGTTTGCCGTGAGTTGCGATTACAGTGAAATCTTTGCAGTTATCTGAGAATCATTTCATTGTGGTATTGCCAAAACTTGAAATTCATTGAATGCGTCTTGTCTTGCTTTATCTACCGTTTTCAGCAATCACTCTCTCTTTTAGGCCCCATATGGTCTCTACAAGATCCAATTAGCAATATTCCATTGCGCTAATTTGTACAGTGAAGAGCCTATAATGGCGGTTTGGGAGAATATACTGCAGTCAGGTTAGTCTGAAAGTACATTAGCTGTTTTCTTGGGTCGTTTTACGGCCATTCTTCAATTCGAGTCAAGATTTGATCGGTTTTTTTAACGTTCAGTCACAGCTGTTACAGAATTCAAATATGACGGAGAAGTCTCAGAACGATTACTTTGCACACTACATGAACTCCATGCTATCTATGGCTCAACGAATTACTTCCCAAAAAGTAGGTAGTTTTACGTGTTCCCCTAGAGAGCAGGGAACCTAGTTTCTTTCAATTGTTTTCGCGTTTCAGACTTCATATTGCGACGATTGCTTGAGCTAGGATCTGGTTTGAGTGAGCGATTTAGGCGAGGAATTCTTCCACCCAGCTTTTTTGTGTCACTCATCAACAAACTGGAGCTCAGCTATGTCGATTTCATAGAAGTTTTGTCATCAGAATATAGGTGAGCATTCTCAATTATGAATATTTTAACTACAAGATTTACGATTTTTTTCGATTTTTATAGTCTGTTTTTAGAACTGGAGATCCTTGGTGGACGCAGAATGAAGCTGGACAAAGGTATATCATGGAGGTTGGAATAGCCGTAGTTCAAGCTTTCCTAGATAGTGGAGCAAAATTCACACCCATGGAAAGGTGCGGTTGAAGCTTAGAGCTTATTTCAAAATCTGTGATTGATGTTTTCAGGGCGAAAATAGCAGCTATATGTGATTCATGTGTGTCGATGTTCTCCCTTGATGCTCGAGCTGTCTCGTCACAACATCTTTTGCAGCTTGATCGGCATTTTTCTGCGCTACACCTACGTCTCACTGCAATGTCCTCATAATATAGATAGTTTCATTATTCAAGTTATTGTTGAATTTGGATAAATAAAACGGAAAATTCAGTACGTTGATGTTATTGGTTGTTAGCCATTACTCTCATTTGTTGTTGATATGTATGACATTCTTGTTCTTTCATTTATATACTCGCCAGCGTACTCAAATTCCGTTGATATGCATTCGGTTAATCTCTGTTCAATTACGTTGATCTACGGCTACCTTGAAATAGAACGTCTCTACCATGCAAAGGAGGTACAAATGTTGATGTTTACTAGTAGGTGATATATGATTGTTTTCTACGTCAGTATGTATGTTGTTTAGTCGTAAACAATTAAACATTTTCTGTCGGTTTCGAAAATAATAACAGTTTTGTACTGTTTCGTTACTTTGGACTTTTTTCGTAAGACTTTACTCAAGAAAAGTTAAAGTTATATATCGATTGCGCATTCTCCAAACCATCCCTTGGTGCTCGTTTTGGCTATTCCTTTTTGCAAAACCTATTTCTTGGTCACTGGTGCAGGTAATATTCTTCTTCGCTCTACGGCAAAGTACTGTACTACCTCACCAAATCTTTCGAGTTAGCAGCCAAGTAAATCCCGTCTTTTGATCATTTTCCCCACTTAAAACTGTTTTGGTGCAAAAATGGATGGGGCTATTACGTGAAATCAACATGATGCTGGTCAATATGCCAAGCAAAACTTCCTAGGGCAAAGTACTGGCGAGATACACAGTTCTCAGTTTTTCAAGTGGAAATTTTGATAACGTTAAAGAACTGATTTTCGCTGGAAGACGGCGATACCTAGCAGACAAGCCGAACACAAAATTTCACTTCTTTTTTTCTGCTTCTAAGACACGCACCATACTTGGTCCGCTCAGTGCACTTGGTCTGCTTGATCCGCTTCATCATTGGTCAATTCAGTGAACACCAATGGCGAGGCGGGTGTCCACCTGATCCGCTTGATCCACTTCGCTATTGGTCAGTTCACTGAATTGACCAATGACGAAGCGGATCAAGTATTACATGTGGCGCGTGTCTGAAATTATGACCAGCATATGGTAGGCGCCAGACTTATCCGATTCAACCGGTTCATCCTGTTCACCCCATTCGCTACTGGTCAGTTCAGTGATTCAACCAATAGCGAATCGGTAAACCGCATGGATCGCTTGAAGTCGAGAAGTCTGGCACTTATTTATTGTTACGCCCAAATTTTTGTTCGACCGTAACTGCACAACTTCTTGATTTCTTATAGAGCGCATTCTTTGCACTCAATCCAGTCTGATCTAAGTATTTACCTTTCTTTTTGCTCGTTAAGGTGTGAAAACATTGGGATGTGTTCCATTCTTGTTTCATATTACTATAAGCGCCGTTATTTGAGTCGCATTTACTATCGTTAAGGAGCAGCTGTCTTTTCATTGCTTTTTATTTTGTAGTAGCCTGTGTAGAACTCATATAACTCGGTGATACATCCATCATACTAATCCACTCTTTTTTCTCATCTTCATCTTTGCTTTGGATGTTTTTTGATTGTTTGCTGTCAGTCTTTAATCTCTACGTGAACTCCAAAGGTGTAAACCTCGATGTCATCATTATCAGTTTGAGAAGTAGGCCTTTAACAGGTAATGACTCGTATTTACAACTTCGCAAAGATAATCAATGATGGGAATGATTATAGAAATGTGTCTTGGTTGTGAAGGCATCATGAGGAAGTTTACGTTCAGCCAGTTTTATTGCACTGTAACACTTTAATCAGATTTTCCTAGCACTTTGCACAGTGAGTTACCTGGATTACGTAAGGTGGTCAATTCATATTGTACGGTTTTTTCATGGGTACTTAAGTATACAACTCTATAGGTCTAAGTTTTTTTGGTTTTTCATGTAAAGCCTTCCCCAAAAAGATCCTCAAGATTTCTACCGTAACTCTTAAGGGCTATCGTAAGTAGACGTCTGTGATCAGCAGGATTTAGACCTCTCTCCAAAGATACAGCGAAATTTGAGCTCTTGATCTCCCGCAGCCCATCGTAAATCCAACAAAAAATGCGCTGCTATGCGGAATGAATGTCGTTTTTGTGTTCAAAGATTGTCGATTAATCTCGTATACAAGGTTTGCAAACCAGAGATTTCGAATTCTGGCCACTGAGTGGAGAAGCGGTCCCTTTTTACTTTTATTAATGTACGGCTCTAGCGAATCCTAATCCCAGCCTCATTTTCACATCCATTTCAAATTTCTGTATTGTTGGAATTACCTATGTCATTCGTTTGAGGAATATGCATTAGGAAAGTTTTGTCAATATCTGTAACGCTGTTCGTTGCGCGGATGTGGTCGCTAATTCATGCGAGAGAGTGAAGGGGAGTGGTAGAAGAGAACATCATTCAAATGCGCTCAAGTGCATTATCTATTAGCATGGGCGCAGTTCCGAATACGTGGGCATAGTATAGTACTAATGCACGTTTTTGGTACACCTCTTGTTTCAAGCACCGACGTCTTTAACGAAGTCTGGAGCATTTTTTCAGGTCATTCCTTATGATGTGTTTTTTGGTATCTAGTTATTTCCTCCAAACTATCATCTAAGTCCATTGTTCCTGTGGTCAGACCATCTGGTTTCTGCAACCGTCGTGACGTTGATCGCATAATTCCGTTGTGAAGAAGGAGTTATATTCATTGGTTATTCAGCCTCACTTCAAGTTGCGCGACTAGGATTGTTCTAAGATGATAGTAACAGTAAAGATTCTTGTACTTCTGCTGACGCTATTCGGCTAACCTAGTTCTAATAGTTCGGCACGATTTTGCTCAAACCTGGCATGTGGAGGTACTCAACATGCTGATAACGGAAATGATTGTCATTCCACTTGACAGGGTCTTTTTTGGCAGGTTACTGTAGCTGTACGGTAGTTAAATTTGAATATGCTTGAAGGCGCCTCCACCCTAATTTAGGCGTTTTGAGCTTTTGGCAGCTTACGATAGTAGACCACCTACCAAGCCAATGCTCAAGTCGCGGTGCTAATTGTCGCTTCCGAAGTGAGAAGCGCTTTAAAATAGCGAAGAGGCATGAAGACCTCAAGTCGGACCGTCCCCCTCCAGCAATGCCCGCCCTCCGTGCGCGTCCATTCAGTCACCGTTCCGGAGAACCGACTTGCGGGTTTTCTGAAACGGGGATTGTTGGCGTTTTCATGGGTTCTCGACCCATATTCGAAATTGGAAGTCGAGAATCTGGGTGCATGGTGCCTTTAAGATTTGCATGAGGGGTTATCGGCATTATATGAATACCAAGTTTGTTCTCCAAAGGCAGCGTCCAGGCAGATCTGGACCTATGGGGATTTTACGTGAAAAATACTTTCGGGGTCCTAACTAAGGCACTGCCCAAGCGGCAGCTCAGGTAATGCTCCATCGGCTGAGATATTCCCCTCAAAACTGGACCCCAGGATATCGCATTCGCATGGATTCATGGCAGTTTCGCGCCAGGACCCACGCTTTGCGCCATGAACCCATGCAAAGTCGATCGCGGGGACCAGTTACGAGGGGATATCTCTGCCGTTACAGCACTACCTGAGCTGCTGGTTGGGCAGTGGCTTAGTTACCAAAATTACTATCCACGTGAGGTCTCCAAGTGTCCAGACTTGCCTGGACGCTGCCTAACTAAGCCACTGCCCAACCGGCAGCTCAGGTAGGGCTCTAACGGCTGAGATATCCCTCTCGAAACTGGACCCCGCGATCGTACTGTGGTGGTGGCGTGGTGGTCGTGGTCCTGGCGCGAAACTGCCATGAATCCATGAATACGATCCTGGGGTCCAGTTTTGAGGGGAATATCTCAGCCGTTGGAGCACTACCTGAGCTGCCGCTTGGGCAGTGTCTTAGTTAGGGCCGCATAAGTACTTTCCACGTAAGATCCCCATAGGTCCAGTTCTGCCTGGACGCTGCCTTCAAGGGAATGCCTCATAGGGGGTAAGAAGAGAAGAGAAGTACTTATACCATGCGGAATGAAGGCCCTTTTTCATAATTAACACGTCGAACGTTGAATCACTAAACTAGGTACTGAAAATTTTGTGATTTTGATTTTTTGCCGTGTACCTACATAATTACTTGTATGTCGTTTTATGGTTAACGTCGAATAACCCTCTAGTTTATTAGAAGAATATCTCCATTTTTTATTTTTACTTACATCAAAGTAAGTGTCATGCTGGTTTAAGTCTTATTTTTCGTCTAAAGCTATTTGGGAAAGTGAGCGTGAACAAGCTGGGTGGAGCGGTCTCAAGTTAAATGTGTTCGCTCTACCTTCCCTTGACCAATGGACATTTTTTGGAATCAACTGTTTGTTCTAGAAAGTGCAATTCGCTATCCTGTTGCTCCAAAAAGCGGATCTGTGTTTCTTTGCACATTCACAGCCCAGAAAGTGCGAAATATATGCAGTCACCCTTTCGTGGCAAAAGAAATGTCACCTCACACGTAATTCGTTTCGTGCGATACATTGTTTGCATTTCACAGATTTTGCTATGTCATACGTTTGAATCCTCTCTAGTAGAGCTGTGTGAAACGTCAAGATTCCACAAATATAGAAATTCGCTGCATCGATTTTCTTCGAATATTTTCAAAGGAATACATCATTTTAGAATAGTTATGTCCCCTTCTTATGCCTATGCTGCACTACTGCTGAAGGTGAGCTACCTTTTTTCAGTAATACCAGGACTAGAACTGACAAAAATGGTCAGCCAACCTTGACTTGATGTGTCAGCGTGAATACATTCATTGAATAGGCACTGACGCGCAACTAGTATGAGATTTACTTTTGATGGAGACCATGGCATCTGTATGACTATTTATATTGCAGTTTATATCCGCGTTTTTTTTTCTACAACATTTTGGTCATTCATTCACAAACGTTCACTATTTTTCTGGGAGTCGCTGATATCATAAAAGAGGATAATTTGCTTTATGCGCTTAGTGTATTCGTGGAAAACACGTTTCTTGTCTGATTTAGCCGCCATAAACCGTGCAAATGGCGAAAATAATGACGAGCTGCGTCGCGACTGCACGTGTTCGTTCACAAAAGTAATGCGTTGTTGTATCATCGATGTTTCATCGAAAATAGCTGAATGTAAAAGTCAACATTGTCGCGAATGAATGCAGATTATTTGTTCTTTGTCTCCAGCTTCGGTTGTTGAGATTGACAAATTCTTGAATTTTTTCTAACTATAAAATTCGTTACGACATGACTGAACTGTTGTCAACTTCAATGCAAAGCAATAGATCATTTGAAACATTTGATTCCCTTTTTCAGCCCCCCCCCTGCAAAAAGTGAAAAATGGGTTTTTACTGCACTTCTGCACTTGCACTGGTGACAAATAGTCGCGATACGCGACCTCTTTCTCAGTATTGAAAGGGATATGTCTCGCTTGAAAAAACCTCCGTTCCGAGTTTCTTCCACTTTTTGTCCGCAAGTTTCACTCAGTTTTATTGAAGTATCATTTCATTTTGATCTCAATCAAGCTTAACTAGCTACATTTTATTCAGTACAGCTAATCGGTGCAATTGAGTGTTTTCTTATTGTTAGGTATAGAGTTGCGTTATTTTCTATGGTTATTTGTTGTTATTTGTTTGTTTCTTCAACGCTATCTGTTCAGAATTGCTGGGTTTCTTATTTTTTTCTGGTTTTGGGCGTCTCTATCCCTTCGCATCGTGCATTTCGAAGGTTACTTTTAGTTTACCGCTGTTATCTAGGCAATTTCTCCAAAGTTTCTGTTTTGTAAACCATGTACGCGTGTCTCGCGCTTTTCCATCCTTCTTTCGTATCTGCTAGCTTAATGGTATACTATGCAAGAACTTTGAACCCGCGCTCGTTTACCACTGAAGCAGCTTATTTACCAAACTCTACCCAGTCATCACAGGATGTCCTCGTCGTTCGATCCGTACGACTGGGCTTCGTTCTACTTTGGGAAAATGGGACGTGAAGAAGCAGCTCGTCTGCTTTCGGATAGTGGCGTCGCCATTGGAACCTTTCTCTTGCGGGATAGCTCAAGGCCTGGCGATTATTCGCTGAGTGTGAGGTAGGTAGCGTCATTACGTTTTGATTTTATTTGTTAATTTTTTTTGTTTGAGGGAATCCGATGAGGAGAACAAAGTCCGCCATTACCTTATTGAAGAGAAATTTTCCGAAAATGGCACGAAACAAGTCAAGGTGAGTGAGTCAACTTTGGCAATTATCGATCGGTAACTCTTAGTACTTATAGATTGCCGACCACGATTTTATGGATATACCAACACTGCTGAATCATTTCAAAATACACATACTGGATAAAACATCACTGAGTATACCGTACCGCAAAGGGCAGATTGAGCAGGTATTTACCTTTGTGACTAATCGCGCTCACTTTGCGTTCCGCTTTCTGCATAGGTTTCCACTCCTATTCTCTTTGATTTCTTATCATAAGTTTGGAGTTTACATTCAGTTGTTAACTTTTGCGGGTGTCTTCCTTCTCTCTTTTCTTGCGTTACTGTGTGTCTTAAGGTGATCGGCCTTTACCGATTTGAAGGCGAACGTGACACGGATCTCCCGTTTGAAGCTGGAGAACTGCTTGAAATCATCGGAAAACCAGAAGCTGAGTGGTGGCAAGCAAGGAACGCACTAAATGCAACAGGTCTTGTGCCTGCAATCTATGTTCGACCAGTCAGTGAACTTATAATGTTTTGCGCTTAGTGTTAAACCGCACGAGTTCTTGCTTTAGGTTGATGAAATGAATGATCGTCATTTGAAAGGTCAAAGTCAGTCATCATTAGGCAGCTCCGTTGGTGAAGAACGATTCAGTGGTGTTTCGACGAACAGTGATCCGATTGAGGATCGATATGAAGTGAGATGTTTTTGGCTATCTATGGAGTGTTTATCTTCCTTTTACTAACGACCACTTTTTTGAAAGCCATTCCCATTTTGATTTTTTTTTGCATGTCGCAAACCTTGTGCATAAATTGCGCGATCTCAGATGCTACGCGATTTGACTATGCTCCAACGTCTATAAGTCGTAAGCGCATTATGAGTGTAAACCGTGACGCAATCGCATCAGCCTACGAACGCTATACGCAATTTGCATTTGGAGCTCGTCCGCAATGGGTTAGATCTGCCAAACGCCAAAGGTCCTTGAGCGTCAGAATCGCTCAAATCAAGCTCAAGGCCATAGGCAGTAAATGGGCTTACCTAGCTGGAAATTACCACATATCTGTGCTTATAGTACATCATCGAAGGAAGTCTGACTTTTCAGCCTCCTCTTCCTGCTGTGGCAAAGGCTATTTACGACAGACAGCCAAATGCGTACGATCCAACTCAACTGAAGCTGAAGGTATGTCTCCACTTCTTTCTTCTTTTATTCTCTTTTCTGTTTCTGAAGCATGTAAGATTATCATTCGATTTCTTCTTTGTTTGCTTTAGAAAGGTCAGTTGATCCGAATCACCAAAAAACTTACCAATGGCATGTACGAAGGGGAATTGGACGGTCGAGTTGGCATCGTTCCATTCACCTATGTGCGTTTCGCTAAAGCAGAAGCTGTATAACTTGTGAATGCAGCTGCATCCATATGCATATCTAATCCGATCTGATCTTGCTTGCAGAGCCATCTTTTTTCATGCGATTTCATTTTTTTTGTGAAGGCAGCACTTACACCTTCGCTGTACGTTTGCTGTAGCAGTGGAAAGTCAAAGAATTGTGTAATGCTGCTTTCTAAAGTAAAATCAATTTGAGTATGAGCATCAACCCGGGCCATAATTTATGTATAACTTAGGCGCATACGACTTATAGAGTTGCACTTTGTTGTTGAATAGATATCATTTGCAAAAGTCCATTTTCATTATCACTTATAATGCATATAAAGCATGGTATGCGTTTTCAAACTATGCTAGCTATAAGCTTAGCATAAGCTTGTGTAATAAGTAATAGTAATAGTAGCAGTTCCACCACTATTTAGTGTCACGCTTTTGTAAACAGCCATTCCGGTTCTGTTCTTCATCTCTGTAGCATTGGTTCTGTACCTACTGCGATTTCTAGACTGCAAGTGCTTCCGTATTTGAATAGATCACAACCTTTGCTGCAATCTTGTCTCAAATTGTTGCCACTTATCACTTAAGATACATATTCACTTTGTTTGCCTCACGAAAATCTGCTGTTTCACGAGTATGCTGTGCTTTATATGCTTCAGTCCTATTTGTGTTGTGTATATATATGAATAAAGCGTATTATAGCTATGTGTAGGAGGAAAAGGTCTGGATGTTGATAACACATTACTGCTCACTGCTCGGCATCTTTTTTTGCACTGTGATGAGAACACAAATGTTGTATGTCAATCATCAAAACATCTCTTCAGCCAAGACATCAATTTGAAATTTGTTTACGCAAATACTGAGTAATTTGCGGCTACTGCGATTATGCTCCATCCTTGAATTGTGGAATAGAATGTGAGTCCTTTGTCATCATTTGGTCAGAGAGTCGAGTCGAGTAAGTCCTCTCACAATTTGACGAATGCGTATGTTGTAAATGTTTTCAATGTTCTTTTACCATTTTTTAATTTATGTACATGATGAATCTACTTTAAGTTGTTTGTTAGAGAGTTCTAGTCTCTTCACTTCATTTTTTGAGTGCATAGAGTTTCGGCCTTGATTCTATCACAACATACTTACAAGGAAAGGACCTGGTGGCCGTGGCCTTCTGGAATATGTTAAAAATCAAAATGCTTGCCTTGAGACGCTGATCTCGAAACTATTTTCGTTAGCTGCAGAACGCGTTTCTGAGAAGAACTAGGGCGCACCGACCGAGATCAAACGGGCATCTGTCAGGATAAGGGGTGTACGGGCCCTTACCTGAAGTGTGTAGCGGTAGTATATGAGTATAGGAGAGATACTTTATAAATAGTTTATTATATTATATACGATAGATAATAGGGAGAAAAGGGGAGGGGAGCTGAGCTGCGACGACAGCAGTCAGCTCCGAGGTCGTCGTCATCCTCGAGAGCCGTAGCGCTCTCCTTATATCCTGACTCAAGCCCACGTAACACCTGCCTCACGCAGGCTTGACATGCGAGGGGGCTGGAGCGATAGCTTGTCTCCCGACACATCCATCAACGGGCAGTAATCGAGTAAACCATTGGAGACATTTAGCACCTATCGAAATTACTCGTAATCTTGTGCAAACACGTCAGATGAGGGGAAATTCGGGATTTTCGAAATAATGTTTTCTAGAGCATCTTCTCGTAAAATTCTGAAGTCAGCTTTTACATCGAACAAGAGAGCTGTAAATTTCAGAGCAATTATGAACAAATTTCAATATGTGACATCCAGTGTGCCTGGCCCTAACACCGACCCAGAAGAGTGGCAGCTTCTAGCCGGTTGTGAATGTACAGGTGTGTGCTCAGCCGAGCAGAAATGTGCATGTTTACTTGGCGCAGAGGTGTGATTCTTGGTAGAGGATTTCTCATTTGGGGAGGCTTTTTGGTGTAAGCGCATTCCCTTTTTTGACGATCGGGAAACATTTGGTGGAAAATTTCCACTTGGTCTGCTCTTCTCCTAGTGCAGGTACACGAGAGGCCTCGCCAAGTGAGAGTGACTGTTTGAATGCGGTACACATATGATTTTTTTTGTAGGACAATTATTCCACTGATGGTTTGTTACTGGATAAGCCTAGTGGAGCTCCTATTCTCGAATGCCATAGCGAATGTTCATGCTCAATGTTGGAAACTCCTTGCAGAAATCGAGTAGTACAACTTGGTGTAAAAGTAGCAATGAAGGTTTGTTCTGTTTTCATAGGGTAATCAAATCTTTGCAATGTTCCTTCATTCCAGGTGTATGAATGCGCTGACGGTAAAGGCTTCGGAGTGCGAGCAGTTGAAGAAATACAACCTCATACGTTTATTTGCGAGTACGCTGGTGAAGTTTTGGATAAGGATGAAGTAGAGAAGCGTGCAGTTTCCAGACATGACCATAATTATACAATGACCGTGCGTGAACATGGACAGAGTAAGAAACATTCTCATTTTTCAGTCATTTTTCTTTTCCTTGTGTTTCTTGATTTTTAATGATTTCTTGCTGAATTGAGGTCTTATATCTTTGCGTGAACAAAAGCTGAATTTTTTTAAGGTGGTATTACGACTACTTTCATTGATCCAAGACATCGCGGCAATTTGGCGCGGTTTATCAACCATGGATGTGATCCTAATCTGTCTATAGTCATTATACGAATAGGCTATACGGTACCTCATGTTGCGTTGTTTTCAAATAGGTGAGCGTTTACGTTGCGAGTATTCCATTTTCTTCTCTCAATTCAGTAAAGCCTGTTATTATTCTAAAAAAAAATTTCTGAATACATTTTTTAGGACTATAAATGTAGGAGAAGAATTGTGTTATGACTACGGTGCTTCAGCGTTAAATGATGGCAAAGGAAAGAAATGCCTTTGTGGATCTGCCATATGTAGAGGATATTTGCCTATGTCTGCTACTGCTTCGGAATAGTCATGTATACTTAATTAATGTTTTACTTTTGAATTTTCAATCGATAAACCTTTTTTGGCACTTGTAGTTGTGATTAGTGTAAGCGAACAATTGTCGTTGATTATCTCTTTTCCGTTTGCTAAACATTATTTGTCTCTTTAGTTTTGGTGATGAAAAAGTGGTAAACTTTTTTTGCTTACAGAAATATGGGAAGACATAAACGGATACCAACAAAAAATCGCAAAAAGCTGAAATCTGTTGATCCGTTCAACAAAAACGCCTCTGCACTGCGTGCTGCAGCGTTGAGGTGAGTCATGTGGATATCAGAACAGCTGAGGTTGAAGGAGGTGTAAGGAACTTTCATAATGTTTGCGTAGATCATCATAGCCAACCTGCTCTAATTCTGTAAAGTTACTATAAGCCATTTATCATCTTAAAGGGTAGAGGGCGCTGGGCAAGCCCTACTCGTAAAGCTCACGTTATCGCAGAGTCAAAGGAGATGGGTAGTTCTATTTGCTACGATGATACACTAATTCCCATACTTCTAGTTTTGTATTGTCTATGATTTCAGTAAGGTCAACTTTGAACCAAAGGATGACGAACAACCGATGCCAAGATCACTAAAAGAACTTCAGGTATTTACATTGTCTTCGCTTTTCTATGCCATATCCTTTTGCCATCTTTTGGAAAAACGAGCAATTTCAGGAAAGCAAAGAACAAGCAGCTGTTGATAAGAAGGAAGTGAAAAAGCGGAGGCAACATAAGAACAAGGTTCTAGGTAGGTAGAAGCGTTTTTTGGCAACATTTAGCATCATTCAGTTTCTTGTTCAGCTGCTGCTGAGAACGCGGGTATCAAGAAAGGTCGCTTTGAGACAGTTGAGCACTTTGTAAGGCGAGTGGAACGCATGACCTACGCAGCTGTGAAGGAACACGAAATGCTGGTCCGTTGAAAGCATCATGCTATACAATTCTTTGGGAGCGATAGTCAGGAGATTTCTCTATGCTCAAATCTACCTGCAAGTTTACTCTACATTCCTAGGTAAAACAAGGTCTGGTAGGACGAGCAGAGTCAGAAATTCAAGCCGACTTCAAATTGCTGGAGGAAAAAGAAAAGCGTCAGAAAGAGCAGAAGAAAAATGAAATACAGAACAAAATTAAAGCTGCTAGACAGCTGAAGGAACAAGCAGCAAAGATTAAGGAGGTAAAGAAATTTCGTTTTGGACCTGTTGGAGAATGGAATGATTTTGAGGAGAAACTGAAAGCCAAAGAGGAAAGAAAACTCAAGCGAAAAGCGGAAATCGAACCAGAGGATGAGGAAGAGGAAAAAAAGGACGACATTATCGAGGTAGCATTACCGTCTTGAAATTTTTTGTTTGGTAAGCTTGATGGTTTAGGGCAGCGACGGTAATACTCAAAAGCCTAGCAGCAATGAGGATGGAAGTGATGAAAAAGTGAAAAAGAAGAGGAAAATCTTTCACTCTGATAAAATTCGTGAAAAGAAAAAACTGGCTGCTGAACATGCTCGAAGTGAAGCCATTCTGAATCAGCGAGGTTAGTACAGGTTTTCTTCCTTGCTGAATTAAATTGCGCCATTTTCGTTTTTGTTTCATTTGAAAAAATGGCTTTCCTGCCCCAAGTCAATATGCTGCGATATTGCCACATCAACTACCCAAAAGTTTTCCTCTGAAAAAGTCGCAGTAGTGCCGAAATCGCTCTAAAATGCTTGCTACGATGTATAGTTAGTTCCTTAATTTTGTGGGAATGTAGATGCTCTACTGTCGACTTTTCTACAACCATTGAATCAATTTTCGAAGTATTTGGAGCACAAATAATTTAGTTTGGATTATTTCAGAAATAATTCCATTTGGTGAGCGTTACGATGCACCACCTGAGTTCAAAGGTGCGATGAAGGAAGAAATGAATCCTCTTATGGCAAAGGTAATATCAGTACAATTTAGTGTTCATGGTAATAATTTATTCGGATTGTATGTAAAGAGATCCTTGCCAATATTTTTTGTTTCAGGCTGGCAGCAAGAAATTATTGCTACATTCGCTTTTGCATAAGGATGGCGCTAGTAAAACCGAATATTTGAAGGATGAGAAACGAGAGAAACCCGGGGAAATTGATCGTCAACGAGTAATCGAAGCATATCGAGAGTTGAAACGAAAAAAGGCGCTCAATGCGCGGTTAACAGAATCTTCTGCCGTGCTGTAAAAGGCTTTTTGTTATATGACCGTAATATTCTTGTAGTTTGCGATATCTGTCACTTCTGTGACTACAGTGATTTTTTGAGATTTTTTGCGATTCTTGTGATTACCTTCATCCTGCAGCGCAAAAGTTCCACTTTTACAATGTAACGGCAGTTAAAGGAGCACGGGACTCGAGGGAGTTACTGGATTTGTATGGCCGAAACCTATAATGCACACGACATACTTGTCCACTTTATCTTTTTGATCCATTTCATCCGCTTTGCAATTAGTCAAATCAGTGAGCTGACCAATAGCGAAGTTGATCAAGTGGACATCCGCTACCGTATGGTCATTTCAGGATTTGACCAATAGCGAAGGAAGTTGTGAGGTGGATAAAGTTCCGTCCCAAAGCATCTATGCAGTGCTGAGATAAATATTAGTAGAAAATGACAGTTTTCCCGAACAGATGTATGGATATTCTTTTATGAGAAGATTTAATCAATTTTTCTCATTGTTAACCGCCGCAAAATGTTGCAGTTGTCCTTTTTAGTGTATATCAGCAGTGTTTATACCATCACACTGCTGATAAACAGCTGCCACCGTTTGCCTGCTTGTTTACTTGTTATCGTTCCAGTTGTTATTGTTGTTTCGAGCCACCGTTGATAGTTTTGCGGCTCATTCAGTGTCTTTGATTTCTCAAATGAAGATAAGAGATGAAAAGAATTCCAGTGTGAATATTGTCGACTTCGTTTTGGTATTTCATTGCTCAGTATTCAAGAGTCTGATATCTGAGTACATAAGTAGAGGCTATGCTCATTTTCTTCTGGATTTTTTCCTGATCTTTCTACTCATACTTTTTTTGAGATTCGACTTCACTTTTATTATTTTCATACTTAATTCATTCGTAATTTTCTCATCAACTCATATGGTAGCAATCTTGACTTCAGATTCATTGACGTTAAAAAGCCAGACTTTGTCAACATACATATGCCGTTTTACTTTTTTTCTATTGCAAATCGGCAAGAGTTCTTTTTAGATTGTAATATGTTGAAAAGGATGTCTTTTTCGGTTCTTTTTCTGGAAAAGTTGACCTGTAACAGAAAATAGAGCTTGTACAAGGTGTGGCTAAACTCTCGACGGTTTGTGGTACACAACGCTTATGTGAGAGGAACGAGACTGTAGGGGGCGGAGTTTGCAATCTCCCCCCTTTCATTTTTTCTCAATTTACCAAGACCTGTGGCACTTCTATATATGGAGAAGTGCATATGTCTGCCACATGCAGGAGCAGCTGAGAAGTTTTTCTTAAAGGAATCTTGGAGGCGAAGATCCGATTCTTGGTGCCGTGAACTGTCCATGTCCAAACGTCGCGTTAATCACGAATTATCTAATGTTCAAGATTTCTTTTATGGATTTTGCTTGCTCTATTGAAATACATAGTCCCCTCATACATTGCCACAAAAAAGGACATCCTTTTTCCAGCCCTTCAGTTTTGGCTAAAGGAAGCGTTTTGTGTCATATTCATCCTCACACTCCGTAAATGAAAATAATCCTTATTTTTGTAACATTCGTTCCGAGCAAAATACAGATGATTACTTTGAGGGCATGGAGAATCGTGTTTACCAGTGCTTTTTCTAATCATTGTTTCCGTCTGAAGGTCAAATTCTTATCATCGTACTGCATGCTTACAAGACCAGGAACTCGCGTCGTGATCAACAATCGTTTTGGTTATCAAGCAAGAGCATGGAAAAGTATAGCTGGAGCTGACAAATGATTATGAGGACGCTCTGATGGGTTTATTCATCAAGTAATTCAAATCCCCTCTTATAGACGTTCCAGAGCTGCGCTTTATTGTCCTACTAAAGTCTTTCCGTCGAGTATAGGAAAAGCTTTGTTATATTTGGTTCGTGTTATAGTTCGTACTTCAGCGTTTTTGTTGCTTGATTGTTTATATTATTCTTTGAGTGCCTTTGGATAAAATTAAAAAAAAATTAGCTCATGACAATTAAATCACGATCTTAAGGCGTATTAGCTGCTATCCATGGGCGTAGCTTGCAAAACTTCGACAAAACTGTCCCTAATTTTGGGATTCAAAGAGTATTTGTAGTGTCGCGGAAAAAGAAGATAACTCGTGTAAGCGCCCCTCCCCCCTAAGAATGGGTTGCGAAATTTATGAAATTTACTTGCTTGGGTTATAATGTGCAAGTGACTTGTCTAATCCTGCAAATAATTAAAGTATTCTTGAAATTTTTTAGAATTCCATTTAGCGTAAAAAATTTTTTTCGGGGGCGTGAAATTTTCAGAAGCACACCAAAAATTTTTCCCGAGTACGTGAACACGCACCTTTTTGAAAAAAATTCCCCCCCCCCCCCCTCCCCCGGGCGGACCTGGGACCGCCACTAATATGTATGTATATGAACAAAACAAACAAAAGATGGTTTAGAACTTGCTAAAGATAAGTATGCAGTAGCTTGTTAGACCATGTTACATCATTTCTTTATATATTTTTGGCACCACGTAGAAAATCTGTAGCACTTAGGTTAACGAATAGTCTTGTAAATTTGAGAAGAAAGAGGGAGAATACGTTCGTTCGTCCAGTCCAATTTGTAAGTCTTTGGTTGTTCATCTTGTCTAACAAAAAATTGTAGCACTTCCGCATTTTCTCAGTTATTTTATAGCTGCTGGAGTATTGTGCTATTTTGCCTCGATTTCAGTTTGACTGCCTTTCATTTGTAGACCAGGATTGACTTCGATTTTTCGATTGACATATCAAGTTTCTAGTCCGCCGCTCTATCATTTTTTTCTTCAGTGTGAGTTTGCTGCGCAACTCCATGCATGCCATTTCCTGTAAATTCTTAATTTTGGTATAAACGGGTTATGTAATTGTCGCTTTTTTCAAGACTCTTACGAATCTTTGGAATGTTGGAAATTTTTTATATCACTGCTGCTTGGTGCCTAAGAAAATGCAAGTTTCGAGGTAATATTGATTAATTTTAAAAAGTAGTAATGTGCGTTCTATACACAACCTGCTTACGCATGCATATTTATTGAAATACATTTTGCTTACACCTTTCACTTTTACAAATCGGCCAGAGGTATGTGGTCATACATCTGCCATTCGCTAATATTTCCGGAAACCAAAAGTAGCTTGGCTCGATTATTTATTTCCATAGGGTTTTAGCAAGAATATAATTTTGACAGTTGTAGTTTGGTCCATGAGTCTTGCTCCAGAATTCTTTCGTAAAATCGTAGTTTCTTCTGGTTCTCACGAATTCGCTAGATTCAGTATAGGTTAGAAGAATAATCGCGCATTTTTAGAACGAAAGAAATTCAAAAATATACTAATGCATGCTGTTGAAAAAAACTATCAAAATAATTTCAACATGCCTAAAAATGCTAGTAGACCGAAAAAAATTCAATTTCTCTGAATAGTTTCATGACCTATTCTTTTCAAAGAGAGAAAGTCATGTTAATCGAGGATGCATTTGCAAATACTTCTTACTCGACACTTTGATCCTATAACAATATCTCTAATATGGGTAGTAAATTCATAAAAACTGTATGTTGAATGCGATACAAGGTGAAACTTTTTATTCACATTTCTAGAGGGATGTTGAAAGCATTTGTTACAAATTTCGGACCAGATCTACAGGATGTTCCAAAAAAGTGCACACTATTCAATCGTTTATAACTCTCCTTTTAATGTCTTTTCCGGTCTCCAAGTACCATTCCGTAGAGCTTGCTTCGACTTAGATTTGCAATAAGGGGCGAATCTCGGATTTTTCTTCGTTACTGTTGAATTACGGTATGAACTTTCAGCATACAGTGCCATTGGTGGACAGGGCGGTTGAAAACACTCCCAAAAAAGTCTGGAAAATCGTGTAGCAGAACTTTTCACGTCTGAATTCATTACGCAATTTTTACAAGCTTTCTGTGCTTTTTTAGTGGTCTAAGTACATTTTTGCAGGACACGAAAAACATTTATTTCGGCTTACCAGGAACTCAAGTAGTAAATGACTATGAAGTGCAAATCTTATGTTTGAAGTTGGCGACTTCTGTCAAACCAGTTCCTGGGGCAAAACGTGCTTTTTGGCTTGAAACCCTCTTCAATTCTTGTTTAAAGGGACTAACAGCAGAAACGGTTTCGGAATAGTCGTCTTTAGAAGCTTTGGGCGTGGACAGAGTAACGACCGCCTCGTGAGCATTAGGTCAGATGCCGAAAAGAAAACTCTGCGAGTAGTAGTCACTGCCTATGCACCCCAAACAGGCTGTGCTGAAGAGGAGGAGGACGGATTCTGGCAAGAACTTGACGGCTACATTAGATCAGTACCTTCATTAGAGACGCTGTTGATTGGAGCAGATCTTAAAGTCTATGTCGGTGAACAACGAAGTGGAGCATGTAAATGTCACGGGAATCACGGATATGGGATCCGCAAGACGAACGAAAACGCATTCTGGAGTTCGCTACTGCCCATGTCTTGGGGTTGGCAAATACATACTTCATCAAGAAGAACAAACATCTGGTAACATATGCCAGCGGAGATCGGAAGTCACAAACAGACTTCTGGGTTGTGCGACAAAGAGAGCTCAAGTATGTGAAGAATAGCAAAATTAGACACGAAGAAGAACAGCGCCGGAGCATAGGATAACATCAAATGGTAAACGCTCAAAGGCAACGCTCAAGCCAAAGCAGCTATGGAGCTAGCTCAACACAAATGCAAGACGAACAGGAGCGATCCTAGACGAAGCTGATTAACAACCTTCATCTGATAGCAAGGAATCTACTGGGACGTACGAAACAAGGTCAAGACTTGATAAGGAAACTTGGTGGTGGAATGAGACCTCCAGTCTGTGATCAAGAGGAAGAAGATGGCGTACAAGTTGTGGCAGAAGACAAGATCAGAAGACGATCATTAGAAGTACTTGGAAGGAAAGCGTGAAACAAAGAAGTATGTCAAAGAAGCTAAAGAAGCATACATGGCGGAGCTGTAGAGGAAACTGCACACGCACGAAAAAGAGCGAGAGATCTGTCGTATCGCGAGAAGAAGAACAAACGCCACAAAAGACATGGAGCACTTTTACAGCATTAAAGACAAGCAGGCAAAAGTGCTGAGAAGACCACATTGAGATAAACGAGAGATGGAGAAAACACTTCGCAGAAACGACACTCACGAGCCAGTACTACTCATCGACGACTAACAGCTGATCCAATCACGGAAGAGGAAGTCCGCATTGCCATAAGCAAGGCCAAGAAAGGCAAGGCGACAGCTCCAGACGACATCTCC